TTTACTGCAAGAAAAATGAATTTCAAACACATGCATTTTATAGTGTTCTTTCAAAAAACATAGTTTGTTTAGATCAGTGTTGCATTTCTACACAGTCTTTATTTCCTATAAATAATTCATATATTTGGTTATAAGTACAAATGATTGGCTTTTATTATGCAAATAGTTTGACAATTATTATGTAAAACCTCATAAATTTATACTTTGCTAAATAGCTAGAATTCCAGAAAGTAAAATTATAATGTATAACGACAGAATTAGTACACGCATAACCATAATGGGTTGTGGCTGATTAAACAGAAGGATAGGCTGTGTACATGTACTTGTATCGTGTTTGTATGTAGAGGAATGGTGTTTTTACAGTTAGAGATGAAGGTTAAGATGAAATGATTAAATATTTCTTGTACAATGGATATTTTTTCATTAAACTTAACTCGGTAAAATAGCTACAATGTAGTCTACTGGACTCATTTCCACTTGGAAAGTACTGGACTAGTTAACATCATTCCTCTTGGAAATTACTGGACTAGTGGATACATTCCACTTGGAAATTATATGACTTAAGTTAACATCATTCCTCTTGGAAATTACTAGACTAGTGGACACATTTTCAATAGGAAATTACTGTATTAATTGATAAATTTCAACTGGAAATTACTGGTCTAGTAGAAACATTTCCACCTAGAAATTACTGGACTAGTGGACACATTATTGAACTAGTGGACAAATTTCCTTTGGGAAATTGCTGGATTTGATAAAAATTATAGAAAGGTCAAAACATAATTTTTTTATTTTTGTTCTTAAATTCTATAGATCATTCTGTTAATAGAGAAATTAAATTATGGTTTATACTTTAATTATTGTTGTCAGCTTTTGGAATGAATAGCTTCCTGGTTTTTTGTATGGACTTAATTCTTTTGTAATGTTATCTAAACCATTTGATGGCTGTTTAATTATCGAAATGAAACATATTGTTGCCTTGAAATCTAAACATTTTATTTAGCTGCGTTTCATGTTTATTTTTCCCTCATGTCTGATAATGTTTGTTTTATTCATCTGAATCCTTTGTTTTGAAATGATTTAATCTTGTTACCTGGAAGGCTTTACACCGTAAATTAATTTACTGGAATCACTGAACATAATGGTAAGTCAAGTTCAAACGTTTCCACTTTTATTAAGTTTTTTATTTAAAGATTGAAGCATTTCTGTGGATACATTATTATTCAAGGGATAGCAATTGTCAAGGATTTTGTGGGTACATGTAAACTAGGAATTTAAAGGCTCAAGGAAGTCAATATTTTCTGGAGGCTTGTATACAAACAAAATCAAATATTCACGAAGAAATATGAGTTTTCCTCCATCCACAAAAATTAGTACCCAAGAAAATAAATGAATCCACAGTATATCTGAAATTTTGTTTCTATAAATTGAAGGGGGCCTCGGTGGCCAAGTGATCTAAGTAGTTCTACTACTGTAATCACTAGCCAATCAACACTGAGGTTGTTAGTTCGAATCCCGCTCGTACGGGTGCACTCGACTCCAATCTTAATTGACTAGGATTGTCAGTTTTCCTATCGAAAGGTCGGTGGTTTTCTCCGGGCACTCCAGCTTCCTCCACCAATAAAAACTGGCCGCCATGAAACAGCCCAAAAGTGGTGCTGAAAAGTGGCGTTAAAACACCAACAATCAATCAATCAATCTATAAATTGAATACATATGAAAATGATGGTTAAACTGTCAAATGTTATTTTGTTTTAAAAAAAGTCTAATTTATAAAAGCTTGAAGAAGCAAAATCTTATTTACTGAAATCGGGTCATTAGTTTTGTCATTTGAATTGTATCACATATTGTTTATCTTGGCCTTGCTCTTGGATGAAAGAAGTACTATGAGTGACCTGTAGTTGTTCACATCCTCAACCATTGGTATTTTGGTTGGTTATTGTCTCATTGGCAACCATATCACATTGTTTTATTTATTAACTAGCATTTACTGTAAATGTATTTGTATTGCTGGTTGTCATCATCATCTGCATGATTTCACAGAGTTGTTGAATTCACAGATCCATATTCAGAGTCAGTTAGTAATTTTCTTATAAATAATTGAATGTTTTTTTCTGTTAAAGTTACATAATTTTCTGCTCGCCTTGTTAGACATAAGTATGTAAACAATTGTGCTGTATTGCTTTGATTGTATAAAGCTACATACTTTGTATCTAGATGGATTATTGTCAGAAGTTCCTGTCTGGCATATGTCATATGTTATTGAACAATAAATTTGAAAAAAGATTGAAAATCAGTTAAGTTTCTGGTATATAAAGAAATGAAGTAAGTGCATGTATGGCTATAAAAGGTCTTCAGTTGGTTAACATTGTAATGTTAATATAAAGCTACATTAACTAACCACTTAGCCATGCATGTGAACCCTCCTTAGTCAGGTTAGTTTCAGAATGGAAGTAATACTAAATATTTCACATTTTAAAATTAATCCAGTTTGGATATACTCCTTGTTATGACCTTATTTGTATGCTTCAATGACTACCAAAACATGAATGAATGTTAATATTTTTTTTAAAGTTCTCATTTACCATGAGTAAAAGATGAAGATGGTTAATGAATTTAACATGTTTGAGTAAAACATTATGTCTTGCCAGTTGTTTTCTTCAAATTATAAAACAAAGTTTAGTTAAATATTAGATTTATCTGCAGAATTTTCATTTTGAAGATTTCTATTGAACTTATAATGAGAAACATTAGACTTTCATATTGACATCTGAAATCCAGAATGCTGTTCATTTTCATGTTACTTATTTTGATGAACTTCTCCATTAAAGGAGTCTCACATTTCCTAACAGAGTCTTCTGTTCTGAGTATTCTGATTCTGTGTTATCATACACTGTATGTATAACACATCTGCAACTTTAGGTTCATCATTTTGTCCTTAGGCTTTGGAATCTTTCTTTATAGTCTTTCTAGAATATAAGATTTACTCATATGCAGTCAATGCAATATGGGTGTTCAGGTAAGTTTGGAATTGAAATCTATTTGATTGTCATTATTTAATATTGATAGCTGATCTTTGAGTACTTAGATACAAATTATATTTTTTGTTGTCATTATCATAATTGTCCCCCGTGAAATGCGTTGCAGGGGACATGGAAATACCGGGCTTCCGTCTGTCTGGTCTTGTTAGCGCTCTCAGGTGTACAGTTCTTGCCAGATTTTTATGAAACTTATAACATAGGTTTATATCAGCATTGTCTTGGACGAGATAGAAAATCAGTGTTGATCAATTATTTTTAAAAGAGTTATGCCTCTTGGAAACATTAATTATATGGAAAATTGTATCGTTAGCGCTCTCATGTGTACAATTCTTGCCAGATTTTAATGAAACTTATATCATAGGTTTATATTAGCAATGTCTTGTACGAGTTCGAAAATCAGTGCCGATCAATTATTTTTAAAAGAGTTATGTCCCTTGGAAATATTGATTATATGGAAAATTACATTGTTAGAGCTCTCATTTCTTGCCAGAATTTTATGAAACTTATATCATAGGTTTATATCAGCAATGTCTTTGACACTTTCGAAAATAAGTGCTGATAAAAATGGTCTTACTTTTTAAGTCAACATAACACTTTTACACTGACAGTAGCAATCACAAGCAAGACACAGCCCTTACAAATTTTTATTTCTAAAGTTGTCATGACGTTTGCAAGGGTTTTCTGGTTTTTGCAAGAGACTTTTGACTTTTGAATTTGAAAATTTCCGTGGAATACAGTTCCATCATTTCCTTCAGAGATAAACTTTTGTTCATTTGGTTTCTTTGTATTCTTAATAAAAGATAGAATGACACATAAAAAAGATATCAAAATTCTTCAAGATTCAACCTCTTGTTAAGTTATGTCTTGATGTTGTTGTCTTGAAAGCAGACATTCTTAAAGCTGTGACCATAGTTACAAATACTGTTATAGAAATGATATTGATATGATTATTTGGCCTGACATGAGACATGATAAGTCTCCAGACATTTTAATTATAACTACCATATGATGCTTTTATGTGTTAGGAATACATTGGGTATTTAATATAATCTATAAAAACATTAAAGAGTTTTACCACAATAATATGAATACAACTCCACTTCAGTACAAACTTGTCCTGCTAAAACAGGGAATAACTTGCTTTTCAGAGTTCCTTATAATGCTACCTTGAAAACTGGAAAAATCTGGAATTCTATTTTAGTTGCACCATGCCTGGAAATGCCCTTGTATTAAATTAACATAATTGCAGAAAAATCTTTGAAAAAAGTCTTTTGAATTAAAAAATATGGGGTATAATGTTTAAAAAAATCAGGATATTATTTTCCCAATTCTTTGGCAATTCAGATCAGCCTGAAATGATTTTAAGAGACAGGATAATTTGTTTATTATTAAATCAGTTACTGACCATGACAGAAGACTGTTTAGTGCTTTTAAGAAAACCAATTAGTTTGTAATTGTTCCCTATGAAGTTCCTGTCTTCTGATACCAATCCTTGGAAATACATGAATGTCTCGGCAATTTTTTGTTTCTAAAATCTTTAGAACTCTGGGTTTAAAAAATGATTAGCATCTTTTATTCAATGTATTTTTTTTTAATGCTTTTTTAAAGATCAACTAAATAAAACCATACAATACTTTTCTGATGGCAGCCAACTCTAGTTTTCAGTAGACTGTATAATACTTTGTTAATGATAAAAAAAAAATTCATTAAATAAGAAATGATGTAATTGAATCATATCATGTAACATACAGTAATAGGGTTTTGTTTTGTTTTTCTCTCTGTACCTCTGTCTGTCCGTTAGTCTGTCTGTCCAGTGGGAGCGAGCATGGTTGTCCTATGAGCACATATTCTCATTTTCTTTGCAGACAAATATGGTTGATTACTGATCAAAAACAAGTCACAGAAAGTAGAAAGATATTTGAATTGTCACTTTATTCAAGATTTGTTGTTTTTTTTCAGACGAGTTCCATGGAGGGTGACATTAACAGTGATGAAGGGCATCTAAGAGAGAGGCCTTGGCCACATGTAAATGGAGGGTATGTCATAAAATATAAGTATATTGAGTTAAAATAAGCCAAACAAGGTCTTATAGCACCATGTCCTTTGAGAAAGGGACCATGCATTCATCATTGAGTCAAGTCTTTAGTGAGTGAGTATAACACTTAAGTCAAATGATGCTGATTTTGTCTGTTCCTAATGCTTTCAGTCTGACAGTCCTTACCAATAAATCAGCACAAGACATCTGCTGGCAAACCAGAGCATTTGACAGTTCCTATGTGTCTGGTAAACATCTGTGGGTTCTCTAAAATTCAGAGAAAGTGTTGATTTCTTTAGCTTCTAGCATTTTATATAAGCCTGAAATAAAAGTGGCGATAAAATTCCCCAAATTGTGTAAATCTGCTTCAATAACAATAGATTTGCATTGATTCCTGCTGAACATGTGCTATAAATACCAGATATATTATAGATTTAGACCAGATTTACAAAAAACAAGCAATTATTCTAGATTTCACTCGTACAACACATTTTATCAAAATTATGGTCTGACTAAATTTTGATCAATCAGACAAGTCATTGTATTTTGCAAGATTAGATGTAGGAAGATTGAAGAAGTGTTTGGCCTGGACACAGACCTTGTTACCAGAATTAAATGCATTACATTTTGGAATTTAATCTCGAGAATTTAATGCAGGCTTATAGGGTTTAAGTTTTACTCTGTGAAAAAATGATTGTTAGTAAATGCACACACTTGTTTGAATGCCAGTGATATCATCATGTGATATATTCTAGCCAATAGAAAACAAAGACAACCATACATTTCTTTTTGTTAATCTCAAGTAAAACAGTTTTGTATACCTCTTTATTTTAGACCGAATAACAACGAATTTTACAAGAACATAGACAGTATGCCTGAAATCAAACCGAGAAGTAAGAAATCTGGTGTCCTAGTTAGTGACCTTGTAAGTATCCTACTACAGTGTTTACATTGTTTATTTTAGACCCAGTAACTATGAGTTTTATAATATCATAGACAGCATGCCTGAAATCAAACCAAGGAGTAAAAAATGTGTCAGTGACCTTGTAAGTACCCATGTGACCTCTATCTGTTGTAACACTCATTTGTAACAGTTTGTTTTTATGTGTATTAAACAAATTAACAAAATTTAACATAACTTTGTGTATGGTTGTTTACATTAAAGGAAATTTGGGTTTTTGGATGAATCTTTATGGGATAAGGCGGGAAATGTTTCTGATCCTTCTCAAAGGTTTAGTTAAATTAGTGCCACAAAATTTTGGAGACCCGTGACTTGTATTTTATGGTTGAATATCTGGACAACCTTTTTTCTATTTTCTCTCCCATTTAAAAAAAATACAGTTGAAGTATAGATTCCTCTGCAGTTCAATAGAGTTTTGAAATATTTGGGTATATTTAACGATCACATTTTTTCAACTCAGAAGCTTTTGTTTTTGTTGGTATTTTGAGGATGTGGTCTTTAATACTTGTATAATGGACACATTGTCATGATCATGAAAATTAATAATAACTATTTGGTAGGAATTACTAAAATTACTGTTGAATTTTTTTAATTTTTTTTTTAAATTCCAGTCATCAGTCGTAGGGACAAAATTAAGTTATGTGAATGTGCATGGGTATTTTACATGGATAAGGAATAATTGACCCCTTGACCTAGTTGAAAGTAGAAATAGATGTAGATTAAGTCAAAAGTTATGGCACATTTATACTGTTAATCAATGAAAAAACTTCTGCTATAAGGCTGATTAGCAGGGGTGGATCCATTATTCGAGGATGTATGTTTTAATCAAAATAACAGTGAGCACAGCATGGCAATTTGAATTTATATCCCAAAAAAATTTCTATTAAAGAGATCTAGAGGGTGATTAAAAATAAGACTTCCTTAGATGTACAGTTAACTTTTAAGGAAATCATGTGGTATAGGTCCTAGTTCCTTCCTAGGGGTGTGCTATAACTTTTAATGAAACCATGTGGTATATGCCCTTCCCAGGGGTGTGGGACAACAATGTAAAGAATGTGCCATAACATAAGACTGCATGGTAGTATAGTTTGCTTGATGTAGCTCAATCTTCTCATTTTTGATTTGATAATTATTAATTCAATATTATCTCGCTACTAATTAGAATACAATCAAAATGACATGGTCAGATGACTTATTTTTTGCCATAGACTTATATCCTTTAGGCAAAATTACATTTTTATTTATTATTACCTATGTAGAATTAAACACTAAATTATAAAAATTGAAAAAAGCATAATTTAATTTTCTTCAGATAACAGAGGGAACTTTGTGCTTTTTAGATCGTTCTAGGGTAAAATTATTGTTCAAGAGTTACTGTTCCTATTTTGAAATTAATATTTCCCTTTACAGAGTTTGACATCAACTTTTAACATGCATTTGATTAGCATTCATTTGTATTAGATTTGTTTTGTATTTTGTGGTTTTATCATTTACTGAATTTAAAATTGTCCTTTGAAAGACTTGCAATTTTTCTCATCAATGTGGCTATTCTAAAATAAGAGGGGTAGACTTTCATGTCAAACTCTGTGAGAAGTTAACTGTCCAAAGTTTACATTTTTGACTGAATTTTTTTGTACTAATCCATGGTTATTATTTTAAGCCAGAATACATGTAACAAAATTTATGTTTTTGACTTGCTTTGAATCATATATTGATAAATCAATGTTTTTGACCAACATAAAATATTTGTTTTTCAAAATTTAATCAGTAATCTTCTTTCAGTTTAAGCTTTATTCAAAGCATTGTTTAAATAATGTATTCATGACTAAATGAGCAACATTTAATATCTTCTTGGTTAAGGTAGATTTCCAAACGTAATCTTCAAGTCTCCCTAAAACTTTATGGTAACTAACCTTTTTTGATCACTTTTTTTTCTGAAGTTAATATCTTCAATGTTTATATATTTTTTTAATTTAAAATTCTCAACTTAGTTTTAAAAATTCTTTGATTGATATTTCATTTCCGATTGCTTTCTTCTCAAAATATTGAAAATTGCTGTTAAAAAATTTAATGTTCTTGACTAATTCACTTGATATTCTAATTTAAAGGTCCTTGACAAGGTTACTGTTCAAAATTGCTCTTTCTTGACTGATATAGATAATTTCCTAATTAGTGAAATGACATGTTATGTACACATGAGATATTAGTTTTTTTCAGACCAAAATTAAAATTGTTTCCAAAGATTAATACCCAAATCTGTATTCATTTTAAAGTCTTAGTCACTGATTGAATGGATTGAAATATATCAATATGACTTTATTTAAGAATTGAATATGGTTAGAAATAATTACTATGGAAATTAGTGTGTTTTTGCTGTTCTAAGTGAGTTGTGTATTGTACTAACATAAAATTGACTATGTATTTCAACAGGTGGTGAAGGTATAATAGTTGTGTAGTGTAGTTCGTTTTTACATAAACATGTTTGCATTTCTTAACATATTAGCTAGATATTTTTTTCAAAATCACTATTTTACTTTTTACACATTTCACTTGAAATCACTTTTTTCACTATTTTCTTCATAATAATACTTTATTTGTTTAAATTTTTTAAAGACACAATATATAAAAGTTTTCTTTCATCTACATTTTATTAAGAAAAACAAAAAAATGTGGATTTTTTGTCTCGCCTGTGACAAAGGTTACAGTTTGCAAGACAGGTATTACTATCTGGCAGCGGCGGCAATGTAAACGATTTGTATAAAGCTTTATATTTCAGAAGATAGAAGACTTGGATGCTTAAAACCTTGTATGCTGATACCTTATGTTACGAAATTTCTGTGTGTCATATGTCCATTATCCTTGACCTCATTTTCATGAATCAGCGACTGCTTGAAAAAATTTTTTTTTGTCAGGTGAATTTCTCACTTATTATGAGTAATAGGATAACTATATTTGGTATATTGGTTCCTTGCATTGTCTACATGTCCTTCAGACAGGATTCACCTGACCTCAACCTCATTTCATGTATCAGTGATCATGGTTAGATCCGTTTCTCAGATACTATAAGCAGTAGGTCAACACTATGAGGTGTATGGAATGATTGTAAGAGGTACATGTCAGTCTGGCAGGTTTTATTTGACCTTGATGTCATTTTCATGGTTCATTAGTCAATGTAAAGTTTTTATGTTTTGGACTTTTGGTCTGTTTTTCAAGTATTATAAGCAATAGGTCAACTTTATTTGGTGTATTGAATTATCATAAGGTATGTATGTCTGTCTAGCTGGTATCATCTGACCTTGACCTCATTTTCATGGTTCATTGGTCAATGTTAGGTTTTTGTGTTTTGGTCTGTTTTTCAATTACCATAAGCAATAGGTCAACTGTATTTGGTGTATGGTGTACATGTCTGTCAGACAGGATTTATCTTACCTTGACCTCGTTATCATTGATCTTTAAAAATGTTAAGTTTATGTGATACTTTTAGACCTTTGTCTTTAAGACTTTCAACATAAAATCAATGGTCTGTACAGCAGGCGAGACATTTTAGCGTGTGCACTCTTGTTTTTATATGAATTAGATTTGTAATTTTTGTTGTTGTGGTGCACAGTTTATAAAAATGCATTTAAACCAAGAAAGCAAAGTTATTTCAGCGTAACCAAATGAAATGAAATTAATCGTGCATGTAGCATATTGATTTATAAAAGTCTTTAGGTCATAATTTTATTAAGAAATATATTGTTGCTTATTCTACTAATTGGTCATACAAAATTTAATTAATTCTAAGTACTTTTTGGATTAACATCCCTAACATTGTTTGGAAAGCTCAGTGTGTTTATATACATATACTCTTAATAGCTTTAAAAGGAAAATCAAGCTTATAAATGTAATTTATTGTTTGGCTGAGGGAATCAATCAACCTCAAGGTAGCCAATCAAAGTTGAGCATAGGAAATTTACTGAAAGCATGTCTGGATTAATCATGTTAATAGTTAGCAACAACTTTATTTTTGTTTTACTCTTAAATTAATACTTTTTGCGCTTTTGTGGCGTAAAGCAAACATCAATCAATTAATCAAAATTTTACATTTATACAACAATATTGGAAGTGTATTAGACTTTAAGTGGGCCAAATTACTTTTTGTAAAGATATCTAAAAGTTTGTTGTAAATATTCATAACATAAATAATGATTTCAATTAAGAAATACAATCATGTATTCTTTTGGCTGTTATATTTTAGTGGTCTGGGAAATTAAAAATTTAAATGATCAGATAACTTAGTAATTTCCTGTATATTGTATGTATATATATGTAGTTTGTGTAGGTCAGAGTCTGTTTAATGTCTGTATTATTTATGGTCTGTAGAATTAACCTACAACTTACTTCAAAAGGCATTGGTCTTTAGTATTTAAATACCAAAAAAATAATCTTTAAATGTCATAATAAGAAGCTGGACAGAAACACATTCACAATATTCCATTTAATACTTAAATTTATAGAGGATTTTTTAATAAGGACATGTATGGAAAAATACACTTATAAGTGTGCATAATTTTTTCATAAGAAATGAAATGGAATTGTACATTGTATGTGGAAGCATGCAACACATACATACACACATATGTGATATTTTTATTTGTACATGCATGCAATCAAATATAGTTTTATTGCATAAGATAAATTTTAATTGTTCATTTGCTTACAGTTGCACAACTTTTTGTTGAAGTATAGTTTATCTCTTAATTTGTATGACAAAAAATTATGGTAAAGGTTGACGGTTCTCTTAACTCTACACCAAACTTTTTTGTGACACGAAGAAATGATTAAGGTTTGTGTCATTGTTTAACATATTTTCTGTTTCTTTTAAAGAGTCCTTTTGGAATGCACAGTCTTTTAAAACAAGAAAAGTTCAGACTAAATTGCATTGCTGGTAGTTTGGGTCCTTTATGCTCTAGAATGTTAGGAATTCATATAAATGAAACAAATTATAGATGTGGTTAAACTAATGAGAATTTATACTGATAATTTAATGGCCTTATGAATGTTATGTGTGGAATTTTTGGTGTAAAATAATGCAAGTTGCAAAAAGTAAGCCTATGATAAACAAATTGGAAAATTGTGTATAATTGTTTATTTATCTGCATCAGAACTAATAAATAAGGTTGAAATATTGTATGTTTATAACTTTACATTTGGTTTTTAGTTTGTTGGATTGTAAAAATTTAATTGAACAAAATTATTTCATGAATTACATTTTACTCTTAAAGACGTGGTCAGTAAAATTATCCATGTGTTCAATTTGACATCTTCTTTGATATGGCATTTTTATTTATGCATTATAACAAAATGTATATTTTATAATTTAAAAATAACCAATCTGAAATAAATTAATTTAATTGTAATTTGTGATTTCAGACAATGGCAGCCTCCAAGAGAAATGCTGGTGTTCCGTCTGCCATGGTAGCTCGACAGTCACTCAAAGATGATGAGTTGGTAGGTGCTACAACCACAACAGAATGTAAACTAATTCAACGTAATCTGAGAACATAATTCTTATTAGAAAATCACACTGTCTCCTTCTGTCCTCCTGTACTCAAACCTGGGACCTCTGTGTTACAAGAACTTCCCTAGCTCAACAGCTTACGGCTGACTCAGTATCTGCTATGCAAGGGAAGCAATCCTGTTACAATAATGATGATTTCTGTTACTTTTATCTGTTAGGGCTATTCCATTAAAATGTATGTGGGAGGGTAGGAAGGGACTTTCAAAATATCCCTACAACCAAGAACCATTATTTAGATAATTTTGCATAATGGTAATAGACGCATATTGAAAAAAGACCCATGACCCACATTCAATAATTAAACTTCCCTTCCTACCCTTCCACATACATTTTAATGGAATAGCCCTTAACAGGAGATATTCTTTTTATTCAAAGTTTTAAAATACTAAAATATCTGTTTTATTTGCATTATACTGATCTCCTTAATTTCTCCATTTGATTTTATCAGTTTCAAGTCACATGTATACATTGTAATTAACAGATGCTAGACCTCAGCTTAAACTACATTTGTATTGGTCAATCGAAACCCAGGTGTTAATTAGAATTTAACAGTATGATAACTTGGTTTTTGACTTACTTTCATTCCGTCTCATACTGTGGACTAGTGTAGGTAGTTTGTCAACATCATACAGGTACACAGTCCTTTATTACTATATTGTTTAATCAAAATAATATCTTATCCAATTATTCAAAGTAAAGACAATCAAATGCTGTGTATAGCTGATGGTGTGTCAAGCCCTCTTTAAGTTAGATATAAATGTACGATAGTGTCAAGAAACACAACATGCATGGATGTACGTGCTAAACAAATGATAAATGATTCTAGTCAAGTGGCTCTTTTCCATATTGATTGCAGTGTGCAGTAATAATGTAATTGATCAAATAATCAAGATTAAATTGACTTGTGACCCGAAATGTGAAAATATTGAACATAATTTCCATTTTGTATGTTTGAAAGTTAAGATTATCTACATGTGTACTCAATTATACACATATTTTACCTGTGGTACCTGTTAAATGAATTTGCTAAAACAATATAAAATCTTGTGCCCAATCTGAATGAATATTAGTCCCCTAACGTGTGCAAATGTAATGTACTCAATCAGCTGTAGTGTGAGTTTTAACTGATAACTAAGCACAATTAGCTACAGACATGAAAAGTAGCAACATAAAGTATAAGATAAAAAGGATGTGTTCAAATAAATATTGTTTATACCGAGGTCACCATGTGTGATTATTCTGTTGTCTTCTTGAGAGCCTTGAAATGTGTGATTCACACTTAGAGTCTTGTCATACAGGCATTCTTATTCTCAGTTTTTAGTTACATAAGATTTTAGATGCAGGTTGGTCAGTATTACTTTCTTATTATGGGATGTAGTTTTATGCACAACAGAATATCATATTATGGGATACTGTCTCATGTACAGGGGAATTTTTATGTATAAAATGTGAAAATCATATTTAACCAGGAGAAAAGTACATTCCATGTATCAAATCTTTTTAAATAGTATTTTCTATTTATGCCCAGAATTTTTTTAAAAATTTACATTTATTAGGAAGTTTGACAAGATAATGAATTTTTTTTAGTAATTTCCATGCAGTGACTTTAAACATGGACAATTTATTAAGGTTGACGCTAATTGTTGTATCAGTGTCATAGAAATTTTAATGGGAAAATGATGACTATTTTATATTAATGAAGTTTATTTGACTTTATGAAATATGATTTAATTGCAATGATGCATCATTATATTTTGTAATAACTGCATACGAATTGAAGCATTGCAGAACTTTGTAATTAGGAATTTTTCATCTGAAAATTTATGACATATTTGAAGTTGAAATTTCTATTTCCCATAAAATTGTATTTGAAATTATTTTTTCTTATAATAATCCTGCAGAATTTGAGCATGGTTTTGGCTCTGATATTTGATTTTTTTGTTCCCTTTCTGTAAATAATATTAATGACCTCATAAAGTATGCTTGTAAATTTGTTTTACTTCTTCTTTTGGGAATTGCTCAGATAATCATTGACAGTGAGCACATTGTGCATTGATTTAGTAATTAGTTATTAATTTGTATTTTAAAATTTGATATTTATTAGAATTTTGAAGTTTGTCATATTTAATGGAAAATTTTCTTTTTCAATACACTATAAATGTGTGTGATACTGATATTGAGAAATTTATCCTGAATAGAATATTACACTTAAGATTTAGAATGCAATTAATATTTTTGGATGAAATATTTGAATTTCATTCAGTTAGGCTTCCATTCATTGTATAGCAAATTTTTTACTTTGACCAGAACATCATGCTTATCTTTAAACAACACTTTGGCTATGAAATGAAGTTGCACTAAATCCAATACTTTGTAAATTGCAAACTATTTTATGGTAACAGACTACAATTTATGCTATGAATTATGTGGGATATCACATCTTTCTCATTTCAGAAAATGCATGTATACAAGAAGACATTACAAGCCTTAATCTACCCAATCTCTAGTACAACACCTCATCACTTTGTAGTGTGGACAGCAACCTCTCCAACCTACTGTTTCGAATGTGAGGGGTTACTGTGGGGAATGGTACGACAGGGGGTCAGGTGTACAGAATGTGGGGTCAAATGTCATGAGAAATGTAAAGATTTATTAAATGCTGACTGTTTACAGAGTAAGTATAAAATAGCAGCCCCAACAAGCACAGAGTAGTCCTCAACGTCTGAATATAACCAGAAAACACATTCATATTTAATACTGTATACTTACAATAGGGAAAACAAAATTTAAACAATGAAATGTAAATATTTCCATAGTTTGTAATATGTTATTTGGTAGTTCAAATATGAAAATTAATAAATTTATTACTGTTCATTTTCTTTATAATGGATAGTTATCTCATTGGCAATCATACCACATTTCCTAATTTTATAAAGTTGAACTTAAATTTAGTTTGGAATTGAAGTTGGTCATGGTGACAGGAGACAAAACAAAGCTCTTCAAAGATACCACACTAATAATTGTGTATGCCAAATTTGCATTTTGTCTATACAAGAATCATCAGTGACACTCAAATTAAAAAATTGAAAGACCAAATCAAATATGATAAAATTTGTGAATTGAAATAAGAATGAATTTAAGTGTAAAACAGTAACAAAGTGATAACAAGTGGATCCAATGCAGAGAAATACTGGTTTTATATCCAGTGTTTTATTTTTATGTTGACATAGAACCCATAGACGAAAATTTGGAAGTTATAGGTAACTAGTCCTTCCCTTTAGTGCAATCCAGCTAATATCTTGCATCTCTGGTAAAAACTTTTTTTCTGCCAAATAATAAGTCTTCTGAATGATTTTACTAACAAACAATATTATCTACCAATTAGCAAGCTCTTCTTTAACTAACTTACACTAAAATTTAACTTACATAAGTTTTCTCTTGAAAGGAATATAGTTGTCACTTTTTTTTCTGGTATAAAAAAATCATGAGAGAAAAGTTGGTTGTTATCTATACGAATAAAAATATATGCTTTCTAACTAGGAAATTAGAAATAAATCTTTTCATTGGTTTTTACAACTTTAAATTATTTGCTGTAGTTTCTATGTGGAAGTGTTTGTACTTTGAAAAGAACAGCTTTTCATTTGCTTTTGGAATTTCAAATACTTCCTGTATTTTTAATGTAGAACCTTTTTAGTACTTTAATGGCGGTATTTGAATTTGATCAATGTTTAATTATTGATCTTCCTGTTTCTGATAGGATGTGATATATATTATTCTATTATAATTAGACATTTGTACACTTTCCGTGTCTGAAACAAGGTAGAACTTACAATAATCTCATTAATAAAGGTCATTACCGATTGCTGATAAAAGAAAATTTTCAAAGTTTATGATTTTACCAAAATGATATACGACTTCGTCAGTTGTTAACAGGATAATTGTATTTATAATGACTTTTGATTTATCTAACACCTTAGAAAGTGAAAGACTGTCAAACACCCCCTCAGTGGAATAAAATATATTTCATTTTATGGAGAAACTATGTAAGGTCTTGTTGTATGTACCTCTCTGATCAGTTCAGCAGAATGTTCCCATAGTTCAGTAATTTATAGTTACAATGATAAAGACTTCAAATGTTTTATTTGCAATTGATTTTGTAGTGTCTAATTCACAAAATATACTTTTAACTAAAGAAATTTAATCATTTTTGATGTTATCGAGTTGAGATTTCAAAATGTACAAATTTTACTGGAGCCGCTTTAAAGACCATTTTAAACTAGTTATAAAAATATGGAAGATTTATTTTTAAAGAAGTCATCCAAAGATGTTTTGTATATAAGAAGTGTAAATGATTGAATATACAACATTTTTCCGAGGATTTGCATGACGCAGTGTGTATATTTTATCGATTTGTCATTTTTTCAAATATAATATTAGCTTGGACAATTATTTTTACAGGAGCTGCTGAGAAAAGTTCTAAACATGGTGCTGAAGATAAAACACAAAACATAATTAGTGCAATGAAAGATCGTATGAAAATACGGGAGAGAGTTAAACCGGAAATATTTGAATTAATTAGGTATGTAATACTAACTTAGTTATAGTATGTTATTACAATTTAGATCATGTTAAAAAATCAACTCTAAAATAGCATTGTGAGGAAATCACTGGTTCAATGCATAGTACTCATATACAAATTTATACAAGTCTTTTCTTGATTACAATTTCAATTGTTGTTTTCTGGTGTTTTTTTTTTTTTTATTAAACATGTAAAACAAGATTTTTTGAGAGAATTGTAGCATTATATTTTGATAATTGGTTAAGTGATAGTTTTATGAAATGAATAGGTAAAGGACTGTTTAAAAAAATTATTCCTTGTACATGATAGTCATTATATCATAACAAAGTCTTATCGGGGAATAAAAGTGTATTCTAGACCCATATACAGAGAAATGCTCATGTTTTTTATTGTGTATTTATGGACATTGATATTGTGCCCACTTTCAATAGGCAAGTTTTTGGAGTTGACAAAAAATCCCATACAGGTCACATGAAGGCAGTAAAACAAAGTGTACTTGATGGAACTTCAAAATGGTCTGCAAAAATTGCCATCACGGGTAAGTCTGTGCACGACACTGTATTGCACGACTAAAATGATTGGTTTGTAAATGTGTAGCACGACTTGATGTGTAACTCTGTAGCAATACTAATAACTGGTGTATATAACTAATATGTACCTAATACAATGTGTACTCCAAAGGTTTAATATAAACAACCTGTCACTTATTTTGGAGTTAATTTTTTGTAAAACATTTTTAAAAAGAAAAAAAGAAAATCGATTTGTGTTCCAAAAAAGTTGTCCTATTTTAATGACTGTTTCTTTATTTAGATGCTATTAAGACATTGAATTTGAATAATTTTGGTTGTAGAAATGATAGGTAGTCATTGTGCATGAACAATATAATTCAAAGTCTAGGATTTATAATAAACTTTTGGTGTATACATCTGATTTCTACCTATGGCATGCAATCATAACCATGAGAGATGTATTTCTTACCTATTTGTTACAAATATTTAATATTTTTAAATATTTGACTGCTCACATCATATCATTTGAGAGAGAAAACTGTCTGAAAGAAATATCAGGGGAAGATTTATCTTTTGGTGAATTTATTACTGGGCCTAGTAAGGATTAAGGACATGTCTAGAAATGAGTTAACTGAAGAACTGGTGTTTTAAAAAAAGATCAGAATTATTTAGTTGACATGCAGCTGATATTTAGAATCAATAATAAGTTGAAATGCTAAAATTTGGTAGAACATGATTAAATGTTAGAAAAATACTAATATATCTTTAACAAATAGCATAGTTATTTTTGCATGCCTGTATATCTAAGGTCATATAGAATGAATATCAGCTAGATAATTCTATATGGACTTATTTACAAGTAACATTTAGTATTGTGTTGTACTATTGTTGTGTCATTAATATGCTGTCTGGGCTCTTTGTTTCAGAGAATATTATAATGTTGATACTAAAATATTCAAGGAACATATAAAACTAGCAAAACAATGTGTGTTAGATGGCACATCAAAATGGTCGGCCAAAGTGGCCATTACAGGTAGATTTGTGGTGGTTGTGGTTTGGTGGCTTGGCTTTTGGCAGATATTACAAATAGTTGTTACTGACTGAAAGTTTTCACAGTATTTTGACATTTTCAATGATTGAGAACTATTTATTTTGACTTTTTTTTTTTTTTTTTTAATTATCAGAGATTTTACTTTTTAAAGTGAAAAAAAAGATATTTTTCATCCATAACTTTCAGTCTGTGTTTAAATATTTACTAAACAGCTTTTTGCTTTATTCTTAAAATAATGGCTTTAAAAATTAGTTTATTTAAATGGCAGGTGCTTTTCTTCATCTAATATGGTTATCCTGAGATCATGGTTAGGTTTGGAAACAGATTTGAATATAATAAAAAATCATATCAATAAAGTGATATTTATACAAAACACAAATATGTGCAAAAAAGTACAGTTGTATGTTCTTTATTCAGATATTTAAATATTTATAAAATAGTATTTGATTTTGTTTATTCTTTTTGCATGTATTTGAACTCGTTTACTTTATTTTCAGTGAAATATGAAATTTTAATTGCTTTACTCATTGTTATTAGAAGTTTGTTATTAATATATTTTTTATGATATTCAGGTTTTGTTTTCTCTGGTAATATTAATTGTATGTTACTCATAGTTAGATGAGGTAATGCAAAATGGTCAATAAATTATAGGATGTCTGCTGTAAAATTAAAGAAATAATAACAAGTTAAAAATTTCTGGATTTGTAATAAACATAAATTTAATATACTTTCATTTGAATTTCCTATTCCTATTTATTTCAGTAAAATGTGCCCAAGGTCTGATTGGTAAAGATAAAACAGGTACAAGTGATCCCTATGTCACAGTTCAAGTTGGCAAAGTGAAGAAACGTACGAAAACAGTACCACAGGACCTGAACCCGATCTGGAATGAAAAATTTTATTTGTATGTATATTTGAGTTTTATTTAAGTTTTCTTTTGTAAGCCGTTACTCAAGAATTTTTTTTTTTTTTAAAATAATCAGAAATCCATCAAAGATACTAGACATGAAACTCGTTAGTGGTGCTTGATTAAAAATAGTTGAAAAACCAAATCTGGCAAGGCTATCTATGCCCAGGGTAGAGATATTTTTATATAAACAGTAAATGACTGTATCTATGGTATTTTATGTCTGTACAAACATGCTGAGTATAAGGCAGGTGATACCCTTGGGGAATAAACATGCACAACCAGTGGCATTGACCCAACAAACTCATTATAAAGATACCAAGCTTATAACTTTGTATGCTATACAAGCGTTTCATCTACACAAGACTCATCAGAAGTCCTCCAATCAGAAGAGTTGAATAACCAAATCAAATATAAAATAGAAGAGCATTGAAAATCAAAAAGTTGTGCCAAATCAGGCCACGGCCAATATGTCTGTTGGTAGAAAAATCTTTGTGATTCAAATGATTTTGAAATTTTATGAAGAGTAAATTTATAGAGAATGACCACATCAATATTATTCCATGTCAGTACAAAAGTGGTGCCTTCTACTAGGCTGGTGACACCCTTCGGGTAAAACAGGTATACATTTTTAGTGATATTAAGAAATAGCATTAATAAAACATTGCTATGTCAGTCTATAGATTAACATAGAAATTCAGAATTTTGAATTATGCAGTAATATTGTAAGAGTATTTTATTGATACAAGACTGTTCCATGTGAATTTTTGTAACAGAAGGCAGAATGACTACTTATAGAGCTTAAGAGGGGAGGAGGAAACAGTATTTATTAATAGATCCTTACATTAATCTATACTAATAATAAACAAACACCTGTCATGGTCAGGTAATTCTTAAAATACTAAATTTTCTTGTTATTTGTTCTTTCCAGTGAGTGCCATAATTCCTCAGACAGAATAAAAGTTAGAGTTTGGTATGTATAGAGACAGTGTAGTTTATTTTATAAAGTTTTTGTTTGCCTGACATGAAAGTAATGATGTTTAGAACTTTATTTTAATTATTGAAAAAAAAGAGATGAAAAAAAAACTAAAAACAGAATAAGTTTTTTAGGATATAATTAACACTGGACTATACATTCTAGTCTTACAAGACAGTAGATTGACTTTCAAAACTTGAAGTATTTAAACAATGGACTTACTTTAAAAACTAACAACAGAAAACAAGTTTAGACATTGATAGATATTTTACATTCATATTGACAAGACTACAATATTATAAATTATAGGGATGAAGATAATGATTTGAAATCCAAGTTACGTCAGAAATTGACCAGAGAATCAGATGATTTTCTTGGTCAAACAATAATAGAAGTTCGTACATTGAGCGGTGAAATGGATGTTTGGTATAATTTGGGTGAGTTTGACTAGAAGTTGGTAAATTATGACAGTTTATAATGAGAAATAGTATCATGGGTAAAATGTAAAGGGAGGCAAGCCTCTGTGTTAAGATTGAACATATTTTTATATCTTTCCAGGGATGAGGACGATGACATCAAATCAAAGCTGAGACAAAAATTTACGAGAGAATCGGATGATTTTTTGGGTCAAACAATAATTGACGTGACTACTTTGAGTGGGGAAATGGATGTATGGTATAATTTAGGTCAGTCAGCCCTGCACAATGCTCAAGCGTGTGTCGTCTGTCAAATTCTGCAGTTTTTTTCTTTTTTTCCCAGAATCTATATCTATATTCAATTCATGTATATGTTTATATGCATACTTTAATACTTTTTCATTAACTTGTTATTTTCAAAATAATACCAACTTATATGTTGCTGTGACTCTCTAATTTATTTAATTGGTTGTGCATTTTGTGATTCTATTGTGCCCTTCATCTCAGAAATTATTTTATATATATAAAAAACAAAGATTTAAGGTTTCAAATTCTAAATTCTCAATACTTTTTTAAGTGATAAAGAAAGGATTTCAATTGTAAAAAATCTCTAGAACAGAAACCTTTGGCGAAAAGTCTACCTATTCAATTTGAAAACAGAAATTCAAAGTGAAAACAAGTATTTAGAATATCAAATATATATGTGAGGTTTTTATACGACCGCAAAAAATTTTTTGGGATCGTATAATGGTATGATGTCTTCGTCATCCAAAGATACATTTGCTTCCGGATAATAACTTTTGTTTAAGTGAATAGATCTCTATGAAATTTTTTTAGAAGGTTCAATACCACAAAAGGAAGGTTGGGAGTGATTTTAGGGATGATGGTCCCAACCGTTTAGGAATTAGGGGCCCAAAACAAGCATTTATCTAATTTCAGGACAATAACTTGTGTATAAGTATTTCAATTGCTCTGAAATTGTACCACAATGTTAAATACTACAAGTAGAAGGTTGGGATGTATTTTAAGGGTTATTGGGCAAACAGTTTAGGAATGAAGGGCCAAAAAGGGGCCAAAAACAAGCATTTTTCTAGTTTCCGGACAATAACTTGTGTGTAAGTGTATGGATCACTCAGACATTGTACCACAAGGTTCCATATAACAAAGGGAAGGCTGGGATTGAGTTTGGGGTTAATTGTCCCAAACATGTAGGAATAAGGGGCCAAAAAAGGGCCAAAAAGAAGCATTTTTCTAGTTTCTAGACGATAACTTGTGTTTAAGTGTATGGATCTCTCTGAAATTATACTACATGTACAAGGTTCCATACTACAAAGGAAAGACTGTGATTGAGTTTTGGGGTTATTGCTCCAAGGGGGGTTTCAATAAGTTGGGGGGGGGGGGGGGGGGGATTTTTTGTTTACAATTTTTTTGAAGGATTCATATTTTTTTTTTCAAAATTTTTCAAATTTCGAATTTTTGAAAAGTTTCAAGAAGAAATCTTCAATTGCACAGTATTGCGCAATAGATTTGTAAGATCTTTGACCACATTTATTTTTGTGTCAGAAACCTATATTATGTCAAAAATTTGATCACAATCCAAATTCAGACAGTATCAAGCTTGAATATTGTGTCCAAATTTGCCCCAACTGTTCAGGGTTCGACCTCTGCGGTCGTATCAGGCTGCACTCAGCGAAGCATTTTATTACCCTTCTCTTAAAGTCTGAACAAAAGTATAGTTTGACAATTGTTTTGTAGATTTTAAATGTCAGAGCAAAGGAGTAAGATATAAATATGTTATGAATAATTCATTAGTGCTTTTAAGAAAAACAAAATATATAAATTGAGATTCTGAAAAAAGTTATATGAGATATGGTGCCTTTAAATTATTGTCCTGACTGTATAAAGTGTGCTCTCATACCTGAACTCACCTGTTTGAAACTAGTATATTTTATCTAACAAAGCATGACTTGTGTATACTTCCCTTTATACTAACAATAAGGGGTTTTCATAAGTGGTACATTAATACAATTTCTGTTGAACTACTGACAGGATGAAAAGCATTCCTGATAAGAAATGATATTAAAAGTCAGGATACCTTTAAATAAATGGAAGATTTGAGACTAGTACAACAAAAAATTTGGTTTTCAGAAGCATACCGACTTGTAAGAATTTAGAAGGTCCTCGTACCAGCTTTGATTACTGTTTATAAAAAGAAAGTTAAATGAAATGTATGATTGAAGTCAAATGACAGAAGTATGCATGTCACATATATAACTGATTAAATGTCACATTATTTTGTCGTAGAATTTGTATCACGTTTAGTTAACAAAGTAAATAAATATTATTTCAATAGATCTTTCTTTTTTTAATTTGCATGTAAATGCATTGTGATGACTGTCGGTCACAAAATTTATCATACATCTGATCTATTCAACTTTGTCAATTTTTTGTTTCAGCTTTGATAATAATCGTTAGTTTCTATTCTATTTATAGACTTACAAACATAGGCAGAATGAAATAAATTGTTTGTTACTCAAAATTAAAAAAATGGTTATGTGATTTCTATTTATGTTCATTCATAAGATGAAACAAATATTTTGGATAAAATTAATTATTTCTAAACTGATTTTCATATTTGACTTCTTATTTAAGCTGTACTTTTTACTCTTAAACTGTAAAAAGTTTTAGCAACTTTGATAATTTTTTATTAGAATTCTAACTTTATAAAGAGGTTTGAGAAACATACAATTTATTTGGTATTGCCTTATTAGCATGATTTTATTTAAAGATAGATTCCTGATTGATTACTGATTTAATCATTTATTTTATTAGAAAACTTTAAAATGGATGTTTTACTAAATGGCCAACAAATCATACTACATGATATGTATTAATTCAACTTATTTTCAGAAATTGTTGTCATATAAATGTATGAAAATTATTTTATTGATGCTCTATATAACATATTTTTATGTCCTACCTACGATAGTAGAGGGGCATTATGTTTTTTTGTCTGTTCGTCCGTCTGTCCGGCTTCAGGTTAAAGTTTTTGGTCAAGGTAGTTTTTGATGAAGTTGAAGTCCAATCAACTTGAAACTTAGTACACATGTTCCCTATGATATGATCTTTCTAATTTTAATGCCAAATTAGAGTTTTGACCCCAATTTCACGGTCCACTGAACATAGAAAATGATAGTGGGAGTGGGGCATCCGTGTACTATGGACACATTCTTGTTCAGATCATAGTAATATGTATAATGAATTGAATTTTAATTTCTGAATTTAAATAGGAACTATTTAAAAAAGAACAAAGGAAAGAATTTTCTTCAGAAGAAACCATTCTTTTAACCTGCAGTTTATAAATTCACAATATTCATCAAATTTTGCCCACATTCATTCAATTTAGCAAAGCAAGTTGTTAAAATCATTTTCAATTGAAATTTTCTTTGAGAGAATAAAAATATATTGAAATAGAAATAAAAGTGGCCATATCAAACTTGGTGCAGGTTTTTGACTCTTGTGTAAAAGTCCTCACCATAACTTGTGAGATGAAAAACTGCAATAAAAGTCTTGTTCTTTTGATGTTGTCCTGTGGAGTGTATTAAGGGATTTTTTCATGAGGTAATAGACCATATCCTTTTTGAAACCTTAAACAAGAGCTGTGGTTTTATTAAAAATCAAACAAAACTTCAATACCATGCAGTGCATAAGATATTATCTTATTGAAAAACTACATTATCAGATTGGTGTGATGTATCCATTGTTGGTTTAAACTGGATAGAAAACCAACATCTCTAAGCCAATGATATACAAGTAAGGTGCACTGTTCATGCTGTTTAAATATCTTATGTTTTAACAGAGTGTAAGTTGTATATATTATTATTGAAAACTATCTGAATATATCTGTATATACAAAAACATACAAAAATTTTAAATTCTTGAAAATTGTAGAAATGTTTGCATTTTGATGTGAAAAAAAAATATATCTTCAGATGTGTTTACAAGTATGATGTGCCATGTAATATTTTTTTCTGTAACCAAATTTGACATTACAGAAAAAAGAACTGACAAATCAGCTGTCTCTGGTGCTATACGTTTACACATTAGTGTAGAAATTAAAGGAGAGGAGAAAGTTGCTCCCTACCATGTACAGTATACATGTCTTCATGAGGTAAGCTGACACATGTGTACACTTGGTGTAGAAACTATTTGTGTGCACAGTATTGTAGATATTTAAGGAGGAAGGTGTGCTCTCTACCAGACAAAGTTAAAGAAAGTTGTGGGTCAACTTCAATGTGACAGCAACTCAACAACAAAACATCTCTTGTCTTCATACTGTCAGCAGTCTTTTTTATTTCGTCTGTGAATTGTTGAAGACATGACATATGTTTTACTTTTGTGGTTGTGGTATTATTAATTTGAAAATAAAAACTCAATACCTTACCTCCACTTTCACTAAGGATGGTACAATTTATATTATGGTTGTTCATTTTGAGAAGTGTTAGCCAATCCTTGTCGTCTGACCTTGACCTATGACCTTTATAAGGTTAGAGTTTATACAGGGTAGGTAGGAAAATTGCACTTGTAAGAGTTGACATCAGTTCGATAGGTGATTGCCTTTCAGAAATTTAATTTAAACACTGAAAAGAGTTCAAGAAAAAGAATAGAAACTAAAATGAATTATCTTTGTAGAAAAGTTATTTAGGTTATCTGTATGATCAACAACAAAAAAAAAATTTTAACAACCTATAAATTTTTGTTCCTCTTTGAAATATTTAGTTTAAAGAAAAATGTATCTACATTCAAATGTGAGCAGTAAGTTATATTTAATGTATTTTTTTATTCCAGAATCTGTTCCATTATCTTTGTGAGCAGTCAGGAGGTGTGGTCAAACTTCCAGATGCCAAGGGGGTCAGTATATATCTACATGGATCTGATCTGCAAGGCATAAAATATCATTATTTAGAATTTAGAATACTAACAAATGTCTTTTATATTGTAGCAATTTAAAAAATGTCTGTTAAAAACACTAATATTAAGAAATTAAAAAGTTAAATCGGCCTACTGGAGCTTTCTTAAATTTCCACTATGAATTATAAACTGTACATATTTCTTTTGTAAGAATCACTTAGATGGTCTCCTGGTAAGGTTCTTGTCTTGAATGGGAGAGATTATGGTTTCTTTCCCCAAACCAATTGGTAATTGCTGCTTCTCTGCTAAGCAAGCAGCACTAAGAAGTAGGAGCAAAAAGTATTCAGTTCAGATCTGAATGGGTTCAGATAGGAAAACATAACTTTCTGCAGACTGTTACCTTGTGGACTCGCACAATAAAATTCTTACTACTTCAGTCTAGTACAAAGCAGGGTTCTTATTCAAATGCCACAGGACTTTAAACAGTCTCCCATCATTATCATCATATAATGTGTCTTATTAGAATGTTATTAAATTGTAGGATGAAGCTTGGAAGGTTTACTTTGATGAACCAGCACAAGAAATTGTAGATGAATTTGCAATGAGATATGGAATAGAATCTATATACCAAGCAATGACGTGAGTAGATTTAATCCTATCTATAAGTATTAAGATTATGATGTAAGGTACAAATTGTAAGATCTAATTACCAAAATAGATTTATATCTGCACTTTTCTTATTTACCGTAATCGGGCTTGTATAGTTCGCACTGGTACATAGTCTGCACCCCCTTCTCCCCACGAAATTTCAGGTAAAAAAACTTTTTGTAACTGTTAGAAAAGGTTTAATGAAACTCCGGTAATTTTAAATCGTGTGTGGTCGTTTGCGGTATTTTCTTGGAAAAACCTATTTTCCATCACCAAACAGAAGCTGAAACTGCTTGTAAATGGTTCTAAAACACTTCACGCTGGTTAAAATAAGTCTAAATCACACAAAAAACAATTTAGAAACTTGTGTATGTTTAAACCGGAAGTTAGAAAAGCATGTGTAAAAGATGAAAAAACCCGGTGAGAGTCGAAATCCGTACATAATAGATATCACTATAATACGACTTTGAAAGTAAAACAGTTCCCTCCTTATGTAAAACAGTTCCCTCCTTATGTAAAACAGTGTTTAATATATCTATCACATTAATATTTGAAGGGTCTTAATCTAATACAAAACATATTTGTCAATAGGAAACACCAAAACGGAACGAATAATAACCGATTAAGTTTTGTAGTTTACACATCGTAAGCTGGTTTACGGTTGTCTTTTTTTACTGTTTTGTAAGATTTCATTCAAGTAGATACCAGTTTATATTTAGCAATGCATTGAAAAGAAACGAGAATTTTGTAATGAAGCATTTAATTTTTAAATTTATCAGTATTAATTTGATATTGAATAAAAATAACTTATTAATATGGATTGGGTAAAATTATTGGTTTGAAAAATGATAAGAGCGCCCTCTACAATGTCAATAACAAACATGGCGGATCGTAAACAAACCACATCGCGAAATTGAAATTTTCTCTCTTATTTCTTGCTTATTGTACTCTATAGTCCGCACCCCTGCTGTCAGGGTCAATTTTGGAGAATAAAACCGCGGACTATACAAGCCTTTTAAAGGTAAACAAAGTGTATGGAAACTGTTAATAATGTATGTGTGAGAATCCATATATTGAACTTTGAAATAAGGAATTTTTTCAGCCGTTTTTCCTGTCTGCACTAAAAAGAATGTATTCTTATATATCTCTGGTGTACATTCTATTTCATTCTTCAGCCATTTTTCCTGTCTTTCCATATGTAGCCACATGTGGCATGGCATGCCTGCTGTTACCAGTACATCCTTTTATATATTTCAGGCATTTTTCCTGTCTTTCAAGGAAGCACATGTTTATTGGCATGCCTTCTGTTAAATGTATATCCTTTTATATATTTCAGCCATTTTTCCTGTCTTTCCACAAAGTACATGTGTCCTGGCGTGCCTGCTGTTATGAGTACATTACTTGCCAATATCAACGCCTTCTATGCACACACTACAGCCTCTACTGCTGTGTCAGCAAGTGACAGATTTGCTGCTTCAAACTTTGGGGTAGGGAAAACATGCATTGTAAAACAAAAAATATAATGTCTTAACACTTTTTACCTCTGAAGATAATATCAAACATTTATGGTTTTTAAATCATTTTTTCTGACAGTAGGTCATCTTTAAGATACACAATTAAAACTTTTTCCCCATAGAAGTTAATTTTGTATCAAGAGAAATTAGAAATTGAAAACAAAACACCTATTGTGAAAATAAAATGGTAGGAAAGTTAAAATGCAAATACTATTTATTTAATTTTAAATCTTTCTTTCATTTTCCATTTTTACAGAAAGAAAAGTTTGTGAAGTTGTTGGACCAGTTGCACAATTCTCTCAGGATAGATTTATCTATGTACAGGGTGAGTTACATTCAGGAAATATTAGTTTAATTGCTGTCAAAGCAGATTTATGTTCACACTTGGTTTTCCTAAAATTGATGATTTGATAAATAAAATACAGAACTGAAGAAAACTAGAATTTAAATGTAATAAAATGTTTTCATTTATATTTTTAAAGTTTTTAACCATGAGATCAGAATAGATGAAAAGAATTAAAAGTAAATGTAGATTTGAGATTTTATACTAATATTTTTCAGAACAATTTCCCAGCGTCAGATCAGGCTAGACTACAAGATTTAAAATCTACTGTAGATTTGCTCACTAGTATAACCTTCTTTAGAATGAAGGTAAGGATATAACACCTGAGCAATCATTAACATTTTCTAAAAAAACATGGAGTGATTTTGGAAAAGGTTAACTGATTATTCGTATATCAATTCTTATCTTATGAATATTTTGTACTCAAATAAAACTTCGTGGTTTGATTTGATTTAGTTTTATATAAAAGGTCACATTAATTTGTAATGTAATGTTATTTTGTACTTTCCAGTGCCAATCAACTTTTTAAAGTTTAAAGTTTATCCAAATACTTAAGAAAATATGATTTTATTTAAATGCTACCAAAAGTTTGTAGAAATATTCTGATGTCAACAATGCAGCTTGTCTTTGATGTTTTCATGTAATATTTGAATAACAGAATTTATAAAGGCTTGTTTGATAAAAATACCAACTGAGGGTTTGTTGAACAATGAATAATTCCTACATTGGAACTTCAGTATAGATTATGTGATATTACATGTATGATGTAAATATGACTGCTGCAATTGGTGATAGGACATTGGATTGCATCTTGTAATAGCATTTCATGTTTCAACTGTAGGAATTTGTGTTTGAGTAAATTAAATGAAGGATTGGGTGCATAAGACAAAGGGTTAGGACATTTTTTCAAGCTTTTTCAGAGATTTGTTGAAGACTAGGAAAGACAAAACATTTTTTTCAAAAACACATACCATATACCGTATAGCGGGTTATTTTTGCGGGGTGTTTATTTTGCTTATTTTGGCGGATAAACGAAAATCGAGAAAATAAATTCCGCGAAAAATTTATCCATACGTTGGGTACTTTCTAATAGCTAAAGCGTTTTGTGAACAATATATTTTTTTAGGTCGGCAAGTAAATAGCAGTATATGTTAGTTTTAACAACATAAATGCCAAAGGGCATTGTACATACATGTATTTTATAAAATGACTCTTAGGTGTGTATACCCTTATTAATAAGTGTCAATTAGAATAAGAGTGTAAGGTACTCTTATCAGATAATTACCCTTATTTATTAGTGTCAAAATATTTACTCATGATAATTTTGTAATCTAATTAGTAAGTACATCAAAAGTCTGGTTAATTTCGTAACTAATCAACCGTAAAATTTACAAGACGTTTGAATACATGTAACAAATATTTAAGTCATCGGTATTCTATTTATTAACTGTATCAAAATATAATCAATAAATAAGACGTCATTCAGGTAAAAACAAATCGTTTTACCATAACAATAGACACTTGTTTGTCAAGTTTTACAATCTTTTAACTGCAACAATTTCAGTATCCACCAAAATATTTAATGGGGATTTAAGAATCCACCAAAAAAAAAAACGCCAAAATTTTTCGTATACTTTGTTGCCCCTTAATCGCGAAATTTTATATCTGCGAAAATAACCCGCTATACGGTAAGCCAAGACATAAACAAACATGTATCAATGTTTTGCTGCATGAACTGAAAGAACTTTTATATGTATTTTTAAGATTGCAAATTAATATTAAGTAAATTATACCCAGGAAAAGCTAATTCTGATATAAGGGTGTCTGATCTTGCTAAATTTTCAGTTATTTTTTTTTTGGTGTAAATATTAAATGTGAAATAGTGATTTAAAGATATTTTACTTGTAAGACAAAATCATCTCGCATGCAACAGCCTCTGATTATACTTTATTTGTGAGAATGTAATCAAAAGTTGTATTTATAAGACTTCCCATGTACACTACCCTGGGTAAATATTACATGTAATTGAGTTGTATTAAGTTGTATAACATGTAAGACTATCATATCTCTGGCCACAGCCTCTGTGTATATATATTATATATGAGAATATTGATTATAAGACTATATCTATGTACAGGTTAACACTACTGTAAGTTATTAGTAGGACTAAATAGACACTTTACTAACATATACAGTCTGCTTTATATGTACATGGATCTTCACTTTACTTTGTATTCAAACTTAGTGGGTTCAATTGTCAAAACTTTGAGGAATTTTGTGTGTTTGTCTTTGTTGGATGTTTTAAACAATGTAGAAAGAATGTATTGCTTTCCCCACAAACTTAACATACAGCATCAATTTTCTTAGCATATACAGTGTTTGCATATACAGTGTTGGCATATACAGTCTTATTTCTTAGCATATACACTCTCTACTGTATCTTTTACTGAGAATTGAATGGTTTTATATAGTTGTGGTTATGGTTGTGACAGCTGGTCTTTAAAGATTATATTGTTTTATTCGCAGTGGGAAATCTAGTGCCAAAATATTACCTCCCCTGTAAACACTGAAAACTTGATCTTTCAACCTTTGTTCCGTTTAAATAAGGAGCCTGGATACTATTAATTATAAATTCACAAGAAAATGTTCTGGTAAATTGTAGTAATAAAAAACAAAATTTCCATATAATGTTATCATTTCCCTCCAAAAATAGCAAACGACGAGTACAACAGTTATGAGTTATGTTGGTTAAAATGTTGCTATGCCAATAAGTTCCTGGAGTACCAACTTCAATTATTTTTTTTTAAATGGCTGTATACCTCTCTGGAACATGCTGATTATCTGTATATGTATGTAGCTATAGAAGTTCAGGGAAAAATTCCAAAGGAATCGATTGATATGCAATAAAGATTAACACTTTTGAAATTAAGTTACTAAGCAAATTCACACAGACCTTATCCCGATGTAAATATAGAATGTGAATAGATAGAGAAGACCTCAAATACATGAACAGAAATTCAGACGACACTTTCTTAAAATTGTACAAAAAATAGTAAGAATCTTTTAATGTATAACCCACTTTGTAAAAATATTTATCTTTAATTTTTTAACCTGCACAGGCACAACTTTCAAATTGTTATAATTAAGAAAAGACAATATTCCTGTATTGCAAGTTCATGTGACAAGAGCAGACCGTTTTACTCACAAAACTCAGATGTGAAAAATAGGATTTTTGTTTGGAAATTGTTACAAGCTAAGGACTTTATGGAAAACTTGGAAAATTGCTACCAGCAAGCGCTTTAGAATTTGTATGTTCCTGATTTTTCTAATTTTTTTTATCAATATGCAGCAAAGATTAACATTTTCTAAATTTCTTTTTCACAAGCTTCTAATTCAATTATATTGATAAATAAGGAACATAAAACATAGTATATTTGCATGTATATTTCTAATTACACAGTTAAACAAATAATGTCTTTAAGATGTACGATTAATGCATAGAAATAACTTTCATCGTCACAGGCATTTTTCAAATTTTTCAAAGAAGAGTGACTTTTCTATTGTTCTCACCTCATCTGTTCTGCCATTGATTTACAGACATATTATTTTATTTATAAGATTTTTTTTTAAGTTGAGATGTTGACTGCAGCTTTTCTGCTTTGTTTTCAAATTTTATTTTTTCATGACTTCAATTCTTGATAGTAATATTGTCAATTCTTTTAGTCTGTCCGTTTAATGTTAAACTAAACTAAGTTATTGCACAAAGAAAATCACCAGATTCGATTGTTTACATTCTATCAGAATTAAAATAATAAAAACAGTCTGTTCTCTGAAGCTTTTGAATAGAATGGTTTGGTAGATATTTACTTGATGATTATCAAATTTAGGTTGATACTTGTAAATCCTACAACAGGTAGCTGCAAATACACATGTAAACTTTAACCCTGCAGAGAGGTGTACATGATGTTGTTAAGAATGACTTTTGTTAGATTTGAAAATATTCACCTTTTCTGTTACTTCAGGAAAAAAGAAGCAATGTTTTATTAATATACTTTTTACCATGGAATTTGATATCCTTGAATCAAAATAACTATTTTCAACATATCTTCCATCATCTTTAATAGCTTATAACAAATCACAGTCAAGTCAGTTTTCTGCACAATAATGTCTTTCTAAAAAAATAATACATTTAAAGTGCCCTAGCTTTCTTACATTCTCTCTTTTTCTTTTAACCTTATAATATTTTCCAATATTTACCATACATTCTATTATAAAAATTACTGGTAAAAAAATTAGATACAAAATTACAAACCTAAAAATTGAAATTGGTTTTTCAACTTTTCTGACCATATGTAAATACAAACAAAAGTATCTCATATTCAGATGTCACATACCAAGATTTTATTTCAAGCTCGTGTTTTTTGCATGTTTTCTAATCATTCACATTATTTTTAATATATGTCTTCTGTTGTTATTTGTATCCAGTAAATTCAAATTAAGTAAAACATAAGTCTGAAAGCTTTTCAAAGAAATTTATTGGTATGGCAGTGTAACCTGACGAAAAAAGGTCAAAGTGAAATTGTGATTTTTTTTTTTTTTTTGCATTAACCCTGTTTTAGACCTATACAATTTTAGTTTGAATTCCACACTTTGTGTAATTTCATTTGCACTTTATTTTAATCATTTATTTATTTTGCATGTGGTAGAATAATAAAGATATATTTTTTTTTTTTCAGAGAGGATTGATATCAAATATTAAAAACAGTTTATTAAATTAATTTTTCCAGGTTCAAGAATTACCAAGTCCTCCACGGGCCAGTACTGTAGTTAAAGACTGTGTTATAGCATGTATAAAGTCAACATACCAGTTCTTATTTGACAATTGTTATGAATTGTATCAGCGAGAATTTCAAGAGGGGAATCCCTCAGAAAGTGTAAATATAGACCAAGAAGGTCCCAGTGCTCATAGTTTAGAATTCTGGAGGAAATTAATTGCTTTAATTGTGTCTGTGATAGAGGAAGATAGAAAATGTTACACACCTGTCTTAAATCAGTAAGTCACTGTTATAACCATAGAAAATGTCTTAAATCAGTAATTCGCTGTATTAGTCCAAGAAACAAGAATGTTACTGCTAATTAAAGCTATATCTTTATAAATGTCGAAAGAAAACACATTGAATTCTTTAAAGTCTTATCTTGATATTTGCTGTTGATATTGTGCTTCAATATGTACAGGAAAGATATAATTTTGCATTATTGGGGGGGGGGATTCAGGATAGGGCCTTTATTTTATCGCAAATTTGGGATTTACCCATATCGGGACTCGGAAATTAATGATTAATATTCGGGATCTGGGAATGAATGCTTAATTTATTTCAGGAACTCAGGACTACACCCCCTCCTTCCGCCCCTCATGTTTTTAATCAGATGTGGCAGATTTATGTTGATAATTGGTTTTATTTTTATTTTTATCCTGACTGGCAGTTAGAATGACTGATCTTAAATGAACAAGGACATCTTTCTATCGATTGTTAGTTTTTCAATGTCTAATACCAGATATTTCATTCAGGACAAGAACAATTTTACAATTTATCAGTTTCTCAGAATCTTTACTATTTTTTTATCTCAATTATTCTTTAATTATTCCTAAGGAAATCATCGACTTCAACTGGTTTATATAAGGGCAAGGTTATCATTTTGTGAGCTTTGCTAACAGTTCCTCTAGTTTTCTAGTATCAACTATTGCAGTAATGAATATGATGTTCATGAAAGATTGTTTTGTTCATTTTCAGTGACTAACTTAGTATGGTTCAAAGTTTTATTGATACCTATCAAAAGGGGGTTGGGATTGGCATTTGTTTAGCAGGACTGTATCAAAAGGGGGTTGGGATTGGCATTTGTTTAGCAGGACTGTATCAAAAGGGGGTTGGGATTGGCATTTGTTTAGCAGGACTGTATCAAAAGGGGGTTGGGATTGGCATTTGTTTAGCAGGACTGTATCAAAAGGGGGTTGGGATTGGCATTTGTTTAGCAGGACTGTATCAAAAGGGGGTTGGGATGGGCATTTGTTTAGCAGGACTGTATCAAAAGGGGGTTGGGATTGGCATTTGTTTAGTAGGACTGTGAAGAACTAATAATAGAAAATAAGATTCCTGAGACTTTGTCAATTAATTTTACTACTGTTTTATGATGATGTCGGTCTCAATAGAACAAAATATATCAAATTTTGATAAATTTGTAAAAACATGAAAACATATGATCATGATGATGGTTTGATTAATAGGCAGGTCATCATAGATCCAAAACTTGAAGGCGATTTGATCAAGGCTGGAGGGCCGTAAGTCTATGTTCATTCAGCTGTTGTCCACATTATATTGTACTCATAATGTAAACTTATAGTACAGATTATACAGCTGTGATGACTTCCAATAATAAGACAAACTTATGATTAAATCGCCATCTCAGAATCTAATTCATTTTAGTTATATTTTCAAAAACATACACCTCAACATTGTGATTTGTTAAAAACGTCCTAAACAATGGATATTCAACAAATATTCAACCAATGATGTGAAGTTATTTTCGTTTCGGGTACCAAAATGAAATCCCCATAGTCATTTAGATTCTGAAACGGTGAATTACCACGTTATAGTGCTGTAATAGCTCTCAAAGATTATATGTTAGCATATGAAGTTAAAAGATTATACTGTAGGTTCATAAATTATTGTGTGAATTTATTATTACAATTTTTGTAGAAAGGGCAAATATGTGAAATTGATTATTGCGATTTCAGGAAAATCTGTATACAGTTATATGTATAGGATATCAAAATGCAAGTTCGTATTATTTTGATACTCACCCAGTCAGATTATTTGCAATAATAAAAACCTTGCAATAATTTCTGAATTTACAGTATACAGTAAAAGAGAAATTTGTTTCATTTACTTGTTTTGTCCTCTGTAAGCTCAAATGCTTAGGATAATGATATTGATGTCAATGATGATAAATAAGTTTTTGTCTCGCTTGACGGAGTCAAAAAGCGAGACATAGGTATGCTGTCGGCGGCAGTGGCGTCAACAATGTATTAGTTTGTGATTAGGTCTAGTTTATGATGAACCACTAGTGGTAAATTAAAGATATTTGTATGCAGTTGTATTAGTATTGGCACATCTCATTACCATGGAGATTATTTGGCCCCGCCCCATCAGTTATGGTCTATTGACTTGAAATTTTTGCTTAGTTTTCATGTATTAGTTTGTGATTAGGTCAGTTAATGGGGAACCACTAGTGGTAAGTTAATGATAATTGGTATGCAGTTGTATAAACATTGGCATATCTCATTTCCATGGCGATTATTTGGCCCCTCAGTCATGGTCTATTGACTTTGAAACTTTTGCTTAGTTTTCATGTATTAGTTTGTGATTAGGTCGGTTTATGGGGAACCACTAGTGGTAGGTCAATGATATTTGGTATGCAGTTGTATTAGCATTGGTACATCTCATTACAATGGAGATTATCTGACCCCGTCCCCTCAGTTATGGTTTATTGAATTTGAAATTTTGCTTAGTTTACATGTATTAGTTTGTGTTTAGGTTTGTTTAAAGGGAACTACTTATGATAAGTCAATGGTATTTGGTATGCAGTTGTATTAGCATTGGCACATCTCATTTCCATGGAGATTGTTTAACCATGTACTTTCAGTCATGATTCATTGACTTTGAATATTTGCAAAACTTTACATGTAAAAGTGTTGCTATTTTAATTTCAACATTTGCATTATCGAAATAACCAAAAAACGAGACATATCTCTGTGATAACAGTTTATTAACTTAATTCATCAGTCCCTAAGTTGAACAACTTGTACAGTATTCCTTGCTTTTTTCCTGGCTTTAAGTAAATGATGCACTTTGTTTATATAAATTCTGAAATTGCAGTAAAACAAAGGGTTGCAATTATCTAAGGCAAAAAGTAGATCTAAGATAGTTGAAAAAAGTGAGATTTAGGTGTGGTTTTTCCACGGGCATTAAAAATGAAGTTAGTGATTAGGTCAGTTTAAAAGTTACCAATAGTGGTAGTTAAATGATATTTGGTATGCAGTTGGATAAGTATTGACACATCTCATCTCATTGAAATTGAAATTATTTGGCCCCTCCCCTCAGTAATAGTTAATGGATTTCCAAACTTTTGCTTAGTTTAAATGTAATAATTTGTGTTTATGTCAGTTGAAAGGGAACCACTTTTGACAAGTGAATGGCATTTGGTGTACAGTTGTATTGGTATTTACTGTTTCCAGGGAGGTTATTTTGACCTGCACCTTAAGTCATGGTTCGTTGACTTCAAACGCTCTGCATTGTTTACATGTTAAAGTATTGCCCTTTTAATTTCTCAACATTTGCATAAAACTATAAAGAAAAATATAAAGTTGAGACATATCTCAGTGTCAACAGTTTATTGAAGGTGTCTAAACTTCTCACCTTGGTGAAAATTATTCTAGAAATGTGTCCTTCAGAAATCAGTAACAATTGTTTTTTATTATCCAACAAAACACCAATCCTCTCCCTGTTTATTTCTTTTCCCTCAAACATTCTTTTTAGTTTTCAAATATTTTTTTTTTTAGTTTTTGGTTTAATAAATTGTGATTTTACTTCTTTTTATTGCATGTTTGTTTTATGTATTATATTGTTTGTTTATTTATCTTTTTGGTTATATATTGTGTTATTTACTTTTATTTTGAATCTTTTCTTTGGTAATATTTATTTTGCTCTGTTTGTAGCATTTTAAGTTTTGTTTCGTTTAGTTTTCCCTCATGAATATTATAATTACCCATACATGTATTTAGTTCTAACATTAACTTAACAATCCCTTTTAGTTAACATTTTTACAGTAGTATACTTTCCTACAATCCTATTTTTGTATGTGACATTTTATTCTCTTGTTACTGATATGATGCATTCCGGACATATTCAAGTAATGCATACTTTCTTATTTTTTCCAAAGATGTAAACAGTTATAGTCCACAACTTTTTCATTCTGTTTGGGATCCTGAAAGAATGAATTATTGAAACTACAAGAATTTAAATAACTAAATTATATGATAATTTGTGTTATTATAGATTTCCATCAGAACTAAATGTTGGACAAGTCAGTGCCTCTAACATGTGGACTTTATTTGCACAAGATGCATGCTATGCATTACAAGGTAAGTTATTATAGATAGAAAATTGTATGATACTTTGTAATTCCAACCAATTGGCAATTTTCCCAGCTTTCCCAGACATATTTTTCCTTATTTAAGATACTGTATGGTTTGTTTTACTTCCTAATCGAGCACCTGACAGAAATTATAGGTTTATTCCTATATAACGGCCCAAACTAAATTTAAATACTACCTATCAACTATATTCGTGATAGTGAATTTGTAAAAGGATTTGTATTTCTCATATCTAACAAATCCATTCTTTTACATGTATTTGAAAATGAATGGAAAGGCTTACATTGACAATTATGCTATGAATAACTAGAGGCTACATTTATGTATACACTAAATTTAAGAATAACATTGCCTTTCCCAAAACTATCATTGAAAATATGTAGGTTTGCAGTTATTTGTATTTTAATTTTGTATTTCAGTTCATGAAAAAGAAAGAACATGTAAAAGTTCAGAATACATGAATCTCCACTTCCAAGTTAAACAGTTGTATAATAAATATGTTAATGATGTGCCTCAGTTTAAAGGAGATATCCCTGAATATCCTAAGTGAGTATAGCTACCAGATTTTGTATTTCTATGACCACGTCCACTTCAATCCAAAGTCAATGGCAGGCGTTTATAACAGAACAGACCCTGCATATTCAAAAATGTTGTATGATACATGTTATTGATTGACCCTATTTTGAAGGATAAACCCATGATCAAACATCCCTGTACCGTTTTCCCATGACCACACCCTGTAAAAGCAGGTGTATGATAAATATGTCACTGATTTGCTTCTGTTTACTGTGGAAATCCCTGAATATCCTTCAGGTCTGATTATGAAATCCTGGATTATTCTCAGATGATCTGGTTAATTCACGGGTCAAACCCTCAAAATTCGGGTCAGTTAACAGGTATGCATCTTTCATAAATTGTATGCCTTGAAACATTCGAAATTTGAACCCTAACCCTAACCCTAACCCTGAATAAAAATATGTTACCATGACTATGAAATAAATGTTTGCCTATAGACATTATCTCTGTTAAGTGAAATAAATATTTCATTTTTAGGTGGTTTGTTCCATTTGTGCTACAGTGGTTAAATGAAAATGACGATGTCTCCATGGAATATTTACATGGTGCTTATGATAGAGACAAGAAAGATGATGTATGTATGCTCTCAATTTAACAGACAAGGTTTAGCATTTACGTTTGATAAGGAATAACTGTTATGTATTTTAAAACTTGCTAACGTCAATTTAAAGTTTACATTTTCAAATATCCACTTTTGAGGTCTGCTGAACACTAAATTGTTATTTATGTTAGATTCACTTTTTGTTTGTATATTTACTGATTTATTGTAACTATATTATTGAATGTTTTTTGGATATTTCTATTACAGTTCCAGAAGAGTGCAGAGCATGCATTATTTTCCTCGTCAGTTGTAGATGTATTCACACAGTTGAATCAGTGTTCAGATGTCATCAAAAAATTAGAATGTCCTGATCCAGATATTGTTAAAATTTACATGCAGAGATTTGCCAATGTAAGTAATTAGTCAAGATTGGAAATGGAAAAAAATGTTCAGTTGTCATTCTTTGTTTTTAAAGGCAAGTCACCTTTAGGCTATACTTCCCAACAACCAGTACTTTGTCTCTGTCCATTAGGTATTACATGCATTTCCATAAGTTTTCAGTCAACAAAATTTGTCATTTTAACCATGGAATATTTCATTGAAACTCAAAAACGAATGTTGAATTTAAAGGACATTTCTTTTCTTTTTACGCAACTTTTAATTTTTTCCTTAAAATGCATTCAATATTGGCTTTCAGACATTCTTTTAGAATAATCCAGTTTGACTTTTGATTGTTTTATTCAGTTAAAAAAACAAGCAATAAGTTATAAAAGTTATAATTCTGAAGTTATTGATAATGTATATTTTAAGGTTTTTCTTGTTGTATAATACTCCCAAGAGTGACAGAATTGATCAAATGAAAGACCAGCCATAGGGAGGTCTTTCTTTGGGCAATCCTGACACCTCAAGGTGTGTTATACAACAAGAAAAACCTTAAAATAAGCATTATCTGACTTATATACTGTTTAAAAATATCATTTTCTGCAAAGATTTGCATGATTATATTCTATTTTACTGACGCCTTGCTGCAGCTCATTTATAATGTGAAATAAAACTGACTAATTAATCTAGATATAAACTTTTTTAAAAATCACAGTCCAGTTACAATTAAATATGACTATTTGCACAAAGCATGGAACAAATGAATCGTTATGGTGTATGAAAAATACAAGTCACTATTTTAAGTAATTTATTGTTTTAACTTTATAAAAAGGGATGCTTTGTTGTTTTTTTCTTGTTCCATTTCATTTTCACCGTGGAAAAGCAGATTTTTTGCCAACAATTTTTAACAAACTATGCAGAATGATTGTTTTATTTCTTTTGTTTGGCAATACAATTTTATGTCCCCGCTGTAGGTGGCGGGAGCATTTAGTGTTACCCTTGACCGTCCGTCTTTCCGTCCATCCGTCCCATTTTTGCTGCAAAGCTTGAGCATGGGCATTCAAGTCCTCAGACACATTCTTCTTTTATTTCTTTCATAATTGAGAATCAGGATAAAATATTATAAGGTATTTCAGTCTAATATACAAAGGAAAGGATTGTTTCTGCCTGAAACCTATTAAAGATGGAAAATTGTAAGTAAAATCCCAATTGGCAACAACACATGATAATTACCAAATGTATTAAATGATTTAGTTATCTGCTGTTTGCATTTTGATCAGGGAAAATGATGACCTTACACAGGTCATTATTTCATGAAGCACATTTCATTGAAACTCTGTATCGTCTGGGTTGTTTCTTCAAAAGACTGACCTGTTGTTTGAAAGAAAATAACTTCATATAGGTATATACTGAATGAGAGATATCTCTAGACAGATTGTTTTGAATGGAATATAATAATTTTGATATGATATATTTTTCAGACTGTAAATAAAGTACTCCTAGCCTATGCAGACATCGTTAGTAGAGATTTTGACAAGTATACACACAGACAGAAAGAAGTAAGTTTGGATTTTAGACTATACTAGGATTAGGTCACTCTGACCTACATTTCTCCCTACAGTTACTTGGGTAGAGTTTAACATACAAGACTAGTTCTATTATACATACAATCTTATGGATGGGCTTGAGTTAAATGAAACATCTCAGTTTATTTCTCCAGTGCATTTTAACCCACAAACTTGTAAGGAGATACTTTAATATATCTTACTGTTTATCTAATGACCTACATTGAGATATTTCAATGGATCTGTCAGCTATAACATCCCACATTGAGATATTTTAATGGATCTGTCAGCTATAATATCCCACATTGAGATATTTCAATGGATCTGTCAGCTATAATATACCACATTGAGATATTTAAATGGATCTGTCAGCTATAATATACCACATTGAGATATTTAAATGGATCTGTCAGCTATGATATCCCACATTGAGATATTTCAATGGATATGTCAGCTATAATATACCACATTGAGATATTTAAATGGATCTGTCAGCTATAATATACCACATTGAGATATTTAAATGGATCTTATGGTTTATATTATGACCTACATTTAAGCCCTTTTACTTTATTCAACTGATTAATGATTATGTTGGTTGTAAAGGACATTTTTGGAACAAGGTGAACTTGATGATTGAGAAATTTTGTATAACCTGATATAACCTTTTATAAAACATTTTGAAACTGAAGGGTCAAAATTATTGTACATGATATTTTGAGTTTAGGTGTATATGAAAATAAGAAGATGTGGTATGATTGTCAATGAGATAACTCTTCACAAGAAACCAAATGACATAGAAATGTATAGGTGTAAAGTTTTATTAGATTCAGACAAATATTTATTTGCTGTATAATCAAGTGAAAATGATTGAATGTATAGTAAACAATTATTAAATATTGTATGTACAATTTATTTCAGGCTTGTACTTTAATGAACAATATTCAACAGTTGAGGGTACAGTTAGAAAAAGTGTTTGAATCTATGGGAGGAGAAAAGGTAAGAATTCTTTACTGATCATTTACCTGCTCAAACTCGTACTGATATATTTAAGTTTGAAAAGTTTTGATTATTTGGACATTGTTATCATTTTTGGAAAGTTTGCTATAGCTTGTTATAGCAAAAACTTTCCTAAGGCATTGGCCTCAAACCGGAAGTGACAGACTATCTTACTTTAGGATGTGTGTTCTACTCCTAGATAATGTAGTACTGGTGTTTGACAACTAATTCTAGGAAGATGCTCTAGAAATTTTGAGTTACTTCTATTTTGATAAGCTTACAGTTTGAATTAAAATGTACTGAATGTTCATCGATAATTCAAATAATTCAACTTCATTTTGAAAATGGCTATCACAAACACTACTTCGCGGATCTTCGCTGCGCGTAAAGTAAAATCAATACACATCTACACGAGACAGCAGTTTCTATGTTATGCTTTTATCGGTATTCCCCAGACATGCATGAGATCCATATCAACGGGAGAACTATAATCCCGGTTTTAGGGGTTTCCTCCCGTCCTCCGGTTGAAGAGAAAATAAATACTGTGTTTAAAATATTTCATGAATGAACATTTTTCAACGCTTACTACTATTTTTATAATGTTAATTAAAGACGTAAAAGCCCGAGTGTATTGAAAGTATCCCGGTATCTCATCTCGGCCCACAACAAACTCAGACTATAATAAACTCGGCCTATTACATAATCGACATCAGAAAATCGGACTATAACAAAATTCGTAATTATACTACTTGCTATTAAGTCTCCCAAACAAAGTTTGGAGACTTATTGTTTTGCTCAGTTCTTATCATTTTTCTTCTTGAGTGGTATTTTGAGGGGCCAACAGAAGGGAGGGATTTACTATAGAACCCTATGGGATTTATTTTTTAAAATTTTCAAATGACTATAACGTGAAAACAGTAAGTGATAGACACACACGGTTTTCAGTAATGATCACAGGATCATAAAACAAATCAAATGAAATATAGCGGGAGTCCCTCTGGATCAGTCCCTACCCCTTCTGTTTGATAACTAGTAAACGGTTGAGATCCCCACCCCTAAACCATATATATTATTTGTGACGAGTGAACCAACACCTTCTAACGGAAAAGCTGGTAGAGTAACCAAGATGGATACCGAAGTATGCTGCGGTTGTCTTAAAACCTCATGGAAATATAATATGTAGAGACAACAACATCTGGGTTACCGCAAGGTGATAGTTTTATTGAGTCGACATGTTTCGCCGCTAATGCGGCGTCATCAGGACAATATTACAGAGTTTACATGTTCATAAAGTGTATATAATGCGGTTGTATTAATTATGACGTACATGAATAAAAATGAAAGTGAAAATGTAAAAATAGTGTTCATAATGTAGCAAGAATAAAAGTTAAAAATAGAAATAAAAACAAATGTTTATCTTGACTGGTATGTTCCGTAGTCACTGTGAATGAGGTTTATATTGTTTGTACTATGGTATCCTGTAGTAAAACTGTAGTTCACATTGTATGGTTTTGATGATAAATCACGGTATTTTTCCAGTCCGACGTAATCTGAGTATTTCTTTAACAGGGCGGATGTTTCTTCTAAATCCTTCTCCTTCGTTGGCGGTGCGGTGAAGGGGGTGTCTTGTTCATCATCGTCTGATGATAGGTAGAGGTCGTGTACTAAAAAGCTGGAAGGGTGGGTGGTCTTCTTCTGTTGTTTTTCTGTCATTCTTCTCGTGGCTTCATCCCCAACGATTAAGTTGAATTTGGGGGTCCTGGTGCGGGCTTCTGGTGGTGGTGTCCATTTTTTAACTTTTTCTGCCATTTCGCGTGGGGTTTTCTGTTGTACGATTAAATCGTCTGCATATTCCATTTCATGTTTTAATTTGAGATGCCGTACAGCTATGTCCTTTCTTAGAAATTTTGATTGGCACCATCGGCAGCGGTATTCCGTTATAGTGGCTCCGTGATAAATGTTGTAGTGTCTTCGCATCGATTGTAATGTCTTGAATTTTTTGCTGCATTTTGTGCACAATATTGTGATGGGGTCTGTTGGTCTATTCCTCGGCGTAATTTTGGTATTTGCCATTTGGTTAGACCCTGAGATTTAATCCCCAGGGCGTCTGCGTGTTCATGTATTGGATGAATGCTTCTTCAGTCCTGAGACGTGTATTGATGTTAGCGACGGTTGTGCAGATACCGGCGACTGTTACGTCGTCGATACTGTGGTTTGCGGTTGCGAAGTGCTTCGAGACGGGTTTATACTGGTTATTGTTGCGGATGTCTTGTTTGTGGCCATAAAATCTTTCAATAAGGGTGTTTCCTGTTTGTCCGATGTACTGTTTTTCACATCTGCGGCATTGGATAATATAAATTACATTGGATGAGTTGCAGTTGATTGATTCTCTGATCTGATATTGAATTTTATTGGAGTGGCTGGTGATGTTGCGGGTGGTTAACATCAATCGGCAAATGTGGCAATTTCTTTTACAAGGGCCACTTCCGGGGTCCCTTGTACAGCGTTTTAAGTCACTTCTTACTAGTAGTTGGCGTAAATTGGGGGTTCTCCGAGGTGTGAGGATCATTTTGGCTTGGCTAATCCTGTAAGTTTCTGGAGATCGTTCTAGGATGTCTTTCCGTTGGTTTATGATTTGTTGGATATGCGGGTTGTGCGGGTTGTGGCAAGTGGTGAAGGTTATGGTTTTCTCCGATGTTTTTTCTTTAACAATGAGTAAATTTCGTCGATCCTTCTGTCTGGCGGTTTTTATAGCTTGGTTAAGGAGGTTAATAGGGTATCCCCTTTTTCGGAAATTATTTTTCATGATTTCAGCGTGTTGTTCAAAGTCTCTCAAGGTACTGCAAATTCGTCTGATGCGGATGGCTTGGCTGTATGGAATGCTTCGTTTTTGGCTTTGCGGGTGGCAAGAGTTGTAATGTAGGTATAGGTGTGCGTCTGTGGGTTTGGTATATAGACTGGTTCTGAGGTTGCCCTGGTTATCTTTTCTAATAATGGCAGAAAAAGTTAAAAAATGGACACCACCACCAGAAGCCCGCACCAGGACCCCCAAATTCAACTTAATCGTTGGGGATGAAGCCACGAGAAGAATGACAGAAAAACAACAGAAGAAGACCACCCACCCTTCCAGCTTTTTAGTACACGACCTCTACCTATCATCAGACGATGATGAACAAGACACCCCCTTCACCGCACCGCCAACGAAGTAGAAGGATTTAGAAGAAACATCCGCCCTGTTAAAGAAATACTCAGATTACGTCGGACTGGAAAAATACCGTGATTTATCATCAAAACCATACAATGTGAACTACAGTTTTACTACAGGATACCATAGTACAAACAATATAAACCTCATTCACAGTGACTACGGAACATACCAGTCAAGATAAACATTTGTTTTTATTTCTATTTTTAACTTTTATTCTTGCTACATTATGAACACTATTTTTACATTTTCACTTTCATTTTTATTCATGTACGTCATAATTAAAACAACCGCATTATATACACTTTATGAACATGTAAACTCTGTAATATTGTCCTGATGACGCCGCATTAGCGGCGAAACATGTCGACTCAATAAAACTATCACCTTGCGGTAACCCAGATGTTGTTGTCTCTACATATTATATTTCCATGAGGTTTTAAGACAACCGCAGCATACTTCGGTATCCATCTTGGTTACTCTACCAGCTTTTCCGTTAGAAGGTGTTGGTTCACTCGTCACAAATTATTTATTTTTCTGTGAACCCCTGCATCCGCACACGATCCACCTTAGCCGTCCTGCGTTGTAGTTACAACCGTTAGCCTCATGTCTACCGACCAGTTCCATTCTACCACCAACCTCACTGAAGAAACCGCCCATACCTCGAAGAAAAGGAAAACCCGCGACGAAGATATGGAGGATAATACAACCGCACCCGCAACCGCACCCGCTCCTACTACGATAACCATCCAAGAAAAAAACTTAGCCCACTTTAGAACCTTACGGAAATTGAACATTAAATTCATCCGCAGCCAGAACCACCTACAATACCTCACCAGATGTAAGGAAAAAGACACTGTACCGAAAACTTTACGGTGCAACATTAAACCGCAGGTCCCAGATACCAACCCCCGCTTTCTCATTAAATGGGAAGGAGCACAAATTAAATTTGGTCAAGATTTAGTTAACCTTTTAACGGAATATTGGGCTGAAAGATGCAATACAATCAAAGAACACATTATGGAAACGGAAACCAACCTCACTGAACTAACCTCAGAAGAAGAAATGGACCACATCCAACAACTTATGCAGAAAACAAGAGTCTCAGTAGATAACGATATGAAAACCCCTGTTAGAAAGTAGAAAAATGCCCCACAGAAACCGCAAGTTCATTAAACGGAATAGATACAAGAAACTACAGAACATAGCCAATATACCCCACAACGCCGTCGTTAACTTATCGAACCACAAACTCACAGAACCGCAACTTACCCTTCTAGCCAAAGGTCTCGGATTTAGTCCCATCCCAGCACCGCAACATAAGATCAGCCTAATTCGCGACACGCTACTATTCAACCGCACGATACGCCTTAAACATCATTTTCAAGGAGAAGAAAGATCCGCAACAACACCAGTTGACCCGTACAAACCTCCATCAGGTTGGGTACCAAAAGCCAGCCAAAATAAACAACTAGACACCTATTTAAATGTTATAACCGAGGAAATAGTTAACGATCTCAGCACACCAAAACGACGATACCACAACATCAGCCGAGAAGAAAGAACCGCCATTACAGAACTACGAGAAAACCCGAACATCATTATCAAACCCGCAGACAAAGGAGGAGCCGTAGTTATTTTAAACCTACACGAATATATACAAGAGGCCCACAGACAATTAGAAGACCGCGATACTTACACTATATTAAATGAAGATTTGAACCCAAAGATCACAAAAGAAATCACAAATTTTGTTAACTCTATACATAATAAAATTAGCACCAACTTAGCCAAATACATTATCCCAAAGAATTGGAGAACCCCAATCTTTTACCTACTTCCAAAGATACATAAACCAGGGAATCCCGGAAGACCCATAGTCTCTGCAGTAAACGCACCCACCGCAAATATGTCAGAAGTAGTAGACAATATTTTAAAACCGCTAGCACAGAACGTGAAATCATATCTGAAAGATACCACACAATTCCTGAATGAAATAAATAAAATAACCCCAATCCCACAAAATAGTATATTAGTGACCGCCGATGTGAAATCTTTGTATACGTCCATACCGCATAGAGAAGGAATACTTGCCACCAAAGAAAAGCTCGAGACCCGAGCGGAAAAGGAAATACCAACCTGGATCATTCTTCGATTTATTCATTTCATACTCACCAAAAATTGCTTTGAATTCAACAACGAGTTCTATCTACAGACCAACGGTACCAGTATGGGAACAAAAATGGCCCCAGAATACGCCATCATTTTTATGGACAACCTCGAACAGAAATTCCTAGAATCACAACCGCACAAGCCGCTAGTATGGTTACGTTATATTGACGATATATTCATGATTTGGCCACACTCTTGCGAGGCCCTTGATGCCTTCAAAATTAGCCTGAATTCGTACCATAAGACAATCAAATTCACCTTTGAAATCAGTGACACGGAAATTCATTTTCTAGACACCATTATTAGAAAAGATAACCAGGGCAACCTCAGAACCAGTCTATATACCAAACCCACAGACGCACACCTATACCTACATTACAACTCTTGCCACCCGCAAAGCCAAAAACGAAGCATTCCATACAGCCAAGCCATCCGCATCAGACGAATTTGCAGTACCTTGAGAGACTTTGAACAACACGCTGAAATCATGAAAAATAATTTCCGAAAAAGGGGATACCCTATTAACCTCCTTAACCAAGCTATAAAAACCGCCAGACAGAAGGATCGACGAAATTTACTCATTGTTAAAGAAAAAACATCGGAGAAAACCATAACCTTCACCACTTGCCACAACCCGCACAACCCGCATATCCAACAAATCATAAACCAACGGAAAGACATCCTAGAACGATCTCCAGAAACTTACAGGATTAGCCAAGCCAAAATGATCCTCACACCTCGGAGAACCCCCAATTTACGCCAACTACTAGTAAGAAGTGACTTAAAACGCTGTACAAGGGACCCCGGAAGTGGCCCTTGTAAAAGAAATTGCCACATTTGCCGATTGATGTTAACCACCCGCAACATCACCAGCCACTCCAATAAAATTCAATATCAGATCAGAGAATCAATCAACTGCAACTCATCCAATGTAATTTATATTATCCAATGCCGCAGATGTGAAAAACAGTACATCGGACAAACAGGAAACACCCTTATTGAAAGATTTTATGGCCACAAACAAGACATCCGCAACAATAACCAGTATAAACCCGTCTCGAAGCACTTCGCAACCGCAAACCACAGTATCGACGACGTAACAGTCGCCGGTATCTGCACAACCGTCGCTAACATCAATACACGTCTCAGGACTGAAGAAGCATTCATCCAATACATGAACACGCAGACGCCCTGGGGATTAAATCTCAGGGTCTAACCAAATGGCAAATACCAAAATTACGCCGAGGAATAGACCAACAGACCCCATCACAATATTGTGCACAAAATGCAGCAAAAAATTCAAGACATTACAATCGATGCGAAGACACTACAACATTTATCACGGAGCCACTATAACGGAATACCGCTGCCGATGGTGCCAATCAAAATTTCTAAGAAAGGACATAGCTGTACGGCATCTCAAATTAAAACATGAAATGGAATATGCAGACGATTTAATCGTACAACAGAAAACCCCACGCGAAATGGCAGAAAAAGTTAAAAAATGGACACCACCACCAGAAGCCCGCACCAGGACCCCCAAATTCAACTTAATCGTTGGGGATGAAGCCACGAGAAGAATGACAGAAAAACAACAGAAGAAGACCACCCACCCTTCCAGCTTTTTAGTACACGACCTCTACCTATCATCAGACGATGATGAACAAGACACCCCCTTCACCGCACCGCCAACGAAGGAGAAGGATTTAGAAGAAACATCCGCCCTGTTAAAGAAATACTCAGATTACGTCGGACTGGAAAAATACCGTGATTTATCATCAAAACCATACAATGTGAACTACAGTTTTACTACAGGATACCATAGTACAAACAATATAAACCTCATTCACAGTGACTACGGAACATACCAGTCAAGATAAACATTTGTTTTTATTTCTATTTTTAACTTTTATTCTTGCTACATTATGAACACTATTTTTACATTTTCACTTTCATTTTTATTCATGTACGTCATAATTAATACAACCGCATTATATACACTTTATGAACATGTAAACTCTGTAATATTGTCCTGATGACGCCGCATTAGCGGCGAAACATGTCGACTCAATAAAACTATCACCTTGCGGTAACCCAGATGTTGTTGTCTCTACATATCATATATATTATTGTATGGGACAATAAAACAAATCAAATGAAATATAGAGGAAGTCCACAGGGGGTCACCCCACCCCACTTCTTTTTGAAAACTTGTAAACATTTGAGATCCCCACCCCTAAACCATATATATTCTTGTATGGGACAATAAAACAAGTCAAATGAAATATAGGGGGAGTCCCTGGGTGTCACCCCCACCCCATCCTGTTTTGAGAACTTGTAAACGGTAAAGATCCCCACCCAGAAACCATATATATTCTTATACGGGACAATAAAACAATCAAATGAAATAAAAGGAGAGTCCCCTGGGGTCACTCCCACCCCCTTCCTGTTTAAGAACTTGTAAACAATTGAGATCACCACCCATAAACCATATATATTCTTGTATGGGACAATAAAACAAATCAAATGAAATATAGAGGAAGTCCACAAGGGTTACCCCACCCCCCTTCTTTTTGAAAACTTGTAAATGGTCGAGATCCCCACCCCTAAACCATATATATTCTTGTATGGGACAATAAAACATATCAAATGAAATATAGGGGGAGTCCCTGGGTGTCACCCCCACCCCATCCTGTTTTGAGAACTTTTAAACGGTCAAGATCCCCACCTCGAAACCATATATATTCTTGTATGGGACAATAAAACAAATCAAATGAAATTAAAGGCGAATCCCCTGGGGTCACTCCCACCCGCTTCCTGGGAATGACTAATTATGGGAGTTTTGTTTGGAAGACTTCGTAACAGCATCATGTTACAATTATTTCTTGTATTAAGTAATTTTTTTTTAAAGTCAGAAAAAAAGTTAAACACCCAATCTACACATTTACAACCTATTTGAAATATTACACATCTACCGTTGCAAACTTTCCACAGGTGCTATCCAGCACTTTGATTAATGGTGGACCCAGCAATGTCATGAAAATGGGGAACACCCATAATCTGCACTGAAAAAATTATGCTAACTTATAGGTTAATTGTTTTAAGTCCAGGTGTTAAGTTAGAGGGTATTACCTTAACCTCAAATACTGGATTGTGGTCCATTTGCTGAAACTTCAGTTACTTTCATACTCAAAAGAACAGCTTCATTAACAGTTTTGATTAGCAGGCTTTTGCATCTAGAATGCTGAAATTGAGCAGGAGTTCAAATAGTTTCCCAGTTATGGAGCAATTTAAAATAACGATTTTCTCTGTTTTCTGTTCACAGTTAGATGAATCAGCAGCACAGATTTTAAATGAACTTCAGCAGAAACTTAATACTGTGTTAGATAATTTAGCAACAACCTTCGCCAAAAGTTTGGAATCACAAATTCAACAGAGCATGCAGGAACTTGGTGCTTTATTGGCCAAAGTAAAGGGTGCTGGACAGGTCTCCCTTGCTCAACCCAGTCAGAGAAATAACATTCAACAAGAAAGTTACACGGTGCTACGACCCTTAATGGATGTTTTAGATAGCAGGTAGGTTTTACAGAGGAAAAGGGCTGTGTAATTCATACAGTCATTTAAATATTTAAAAATATCCCAGTCAGTTCTACAATCCTTAATGGATGGCATGTATTTGTGATGGATAGTGTTTTAAAAGTAGCTAGGTAAAGATATCATGAACTTGCTTTTGTGTCAGCCTTGCTATACTCTGCGTGAGAAAATAATTAAAAAAGACTAACATAGAAAACTACTAACCATGGATTTTTTTTTCAGTTTGAAACTGCATCATAAATTTCTAGAACTAATTTATTTTGATTTTGCAAGATACTAACTATTTTCTATTGGATTATTTGGAATGAAAGTTTTACTTATCACTACAATGTTTGCTTCAGCTTACAACTGTTTGCCAGAGTGTGTGAAAAGACTGTGCTGAAAAGATTACTCAAGGTATAGTATTAAAGGGGACTGTAACCATCAACAATTTAGGCTGAATTTCAAGTTTTATTAGAGAATTAACAATTTTTTATTTTTATTATCTGACATTATGCACGCCTTTCAACTTTAATAGCTAAATATATTTAGGTATACACAAAATGATCACAGTAAATATCAACAGATGAAGTATTTGCTCCAAAAAGTAAAATCTACTGAAACGTCGCCCTGCAACATCAACAAAAAAATAAGCAATTAAAATATGTTACAGGCATCAATTTCTTAAAAAATGAATAGTAAGCATGGGCTATTGTCAAATTATTCTAAATATTTGTAGAAATAAGACAAAACATCAGTTATTCGATTTTTACAGATGTGAATTTAAGCATGGATGGAATTTGGGTACTCCTCATTACAGAATCATGGGTCGTTTGGAGGTCGGTTCAAACCCATTTTTCTATGATTCAATATGGTTCAATTGGTTGGACTCTATAGTAAATAAGGATATATCTACAAAATAAACACAGAATGGAAACTTTTGTCTGGATCAAAAATAAATGTTGGTGAAAAAACTGTCAAAATAGGTGCAATTTGGGTACCCCCAGGTTATATATATTATTGTAATCTTATTTACAATATACTGTAAAATGTTAAATGTTTAATTACCATACAGGCAGAAATTACTGCATACTTAGAATATCCTAGTTTATTGTTTATTTGTTAATTAAATTGTTAATTGCCATCAATGATTTATACAGGGGGAAATTACTGCTTTATACATTTCATTATGAAGAGACGTCAACTACTGCTAGGGGAAAATAACAGAAGATAATAAACTTGCCCAAATTCCTGACCATTATCTTTTGTTAGGTCGCACAACAGGTCATAGACTAAGTGTCATTTAGTAAGGAAATGTGGGTTATGGGAACACTAAGATGGTTAATAAGCTACGTTTAAGGATATTATTGGTGCAAAATGTTGAGGAAAATTATATAGGAAACATTAAAAAGATTAGTTGTAGTGTCATTAGTTTACTTAGGTACATAAGAAAAGAATATTTTGAAAAGATTGCTCATCAAAGCTTAAAACTATATGATCCATTCAACTGTATATTAAATTATATATATCAAAACAAATAATAAAAGTTTTGCTTAAATAAAAAAAATGGAATCAGCCAATGCATATTTTTCTTAAAAGGGTGAAAAAGTTACTTCCTTATTGGCTTTAGTTTGTGGGAAGGAAAATAAAATGTTTATGCCCCTGCCGCAGTGAAAGGGGCATTTAGTGTTACCCTTGTTAATTACATTATGATGTTATATGCAAGCAGGGGCATGGACACATTCTCCATTTATTACAATATATAACAATTAAGTGCGGCAAAATATATTAAAATATGCTGCAAACCATATATGAAGCTTTTTATTGGAGATGATTGAATGAGCATACAGAAAAAAGAAATGCATGATAGTCAATTTAGAACAACAACTGTTAACTCCCTTTGTATATAAGTTTACTGTTAAGAAGTGTTACAAATACAACTTCTATATATTATCCTATTATATTCAAAACTAGATTGCTGCTTCATATCAAGTCTTTATCAGATCTGTGTATGAGATCAACTTAACCCAATAGGCCAATTTTCATTAGTATTTCAGAAATTTATATTTTTATGCCCCATTTATGGGCATTATGTTTTTTGGTCTGTGCGTTCGTTTGTCCGTCCGACTGTCAGTGCTGCTTCAGGTTAAAGTTTTTGGTCAAGGTAGTTTTTGATGAAGTTGAAGTCCAATCAACTTGAAACTTAGTACACATGTTCCCTATGATATGATCTTTCTAATTTTAATGCCAAATTAGAGTTTTGACCCCAATTTCAGGGTCCACTGAACATAGAAAATGATAGTGCGAGTGGGGCATTCATGTACTATGGACACATTCTTGTAATTGATATGCCTACATCATGCGCCATTAAGAACTCTATATATTAAAGATATATGACATAATTAAAACATATTGTATTTCATTGATAGTTTAAATTTTCAACTTTCAGGAGCTATGGAGAATAGTAGTGTATACAATGGAGAAAATAGTTGTGCTTCCTCCCCTCTCTGATCCAAGACAGGTAATTAACATATTTTATGTTTACAGTGATGTTTTAATGATTTAACATTGAATTATAGTTGAAGATGGGATTTGAATTACTATAAAATATGGGGTATTGTACTTGAAACAATATTGCAAGACTCAAGTAGAATTGAATTTTTTTTTATTGCTGTTCCTCATCAAGCAGTTTGCTGCATTGTCTTCTGGAAGAATCAGGATACTGATTTTCAACAGCTAGGTAATGATTTGAATAATAGAAGATGAACTTCATGTGTTCCAGCTGTTAGGAGCTCATATCAAATAAGAGCTATTTATCTATTGGTCTATTTGAATTTAAATTGTTATGGTAGTGCTGTCCACTTTTTATCCAATGGTACTTATTATAATGTCAATGACACACTGTTTCTTATAAAGTATTTAAAATGCCTGATAAGTATATCAATTTAGTGTTAATTTTACATTGCAGTAGCATATATGACATTGCAGTTTATTTTGAGTACTGTGAAATTATATGTTATGTATTTTTGAAGACTAAAGACGACAACAAAGACAAAGATCTTAGGGTATTGACACGATTGTAAAGTTTAAAATCTCCAAAATAGAGCTCCTCCCTTGTCAAACATCTTCGGTTTACTAAGTCAGCCTTCTTACATGTAATGATAGTTATTTCTAAAATACGGCTCATAAAAATCTTTTATATAAGACATAGTTATGATTAAAATAAAAGACTGATGAAGGAGGAAGCCTCTGTTTTGAAGGTTGTTTAAAACCATGCTTTATAGAATATATAACCAGGACAAAAATCTGTTATTTTAATGTACTAATGAAACAGTGTGCTATAGTGGAAATATATATGCTAACATCCTTAATAGTTACTTTACAATGACATATAGAAATATTTTATTTTACTAATTGGAAATTTAACTTAAGTATTATTGTACATTTAACCACACTTTAGTACAGCAATGAATTAAACTGTATTTTAGAATGACAGATTTAAGACATGTTACATATGACTGGATATGGTTTTCAGCATTTATTTATATATCTTTGCTTATATTCATATAAATGGTGACTGGTTTTTCTCTAAAGGACTATATCATAATATTTTTTTATATATGGATGAAAATTTTTCAGTCCAAAAAGCATAGTGATATTTGCAGATTCCGTCCTGTATGTACTGAACAGCTTCCCGACAAATTAAAATTTTGATTTATGTGTATTTGTATTATTTCAAAAATTATGATTAATAACTAAAGTTCTTTTGATGAACCTAGACAGTTGGTAACCAGGGAGCCAGAATGCCACCTCTTTTCTTTACAATATAGTTTAATGATATATTTATACCTGTACCATTTCAGTACTTAACATTAACAGCCAAAGGTGGTTTTGATAAACCTAGACGCTTTATCTTTGGTGGTGTAAGTCAAGGAGCCACCTTTCTTGTTTACGTTGTTAGCTTTTATCACTATGATGGCTGAGATACAATATTGTCATTTTTATGGATTTTTTTATTTTTCAGTTATTTTACCAAATGTTGGTTGTAGTCTTTAGACAGTTTGTGTATCCCTTTTACCTTGACCTTTCACCTGCTTTTTGATTTATGGAGAATTGTTCTTAAAAATGTATATAAGATTGAAATTTCTTGCATGAATACATTTTCTACAACAGAATGAATGAAACAACTCTCTCTATGACAAATTTTTTATCATGGGAGAAGACCAAAGCATGTCGAAATATATTTTATTTTATATAACTTGTGTATTTGTCATGATATGTTGGAAATGGACTGAGGTATGAATTATGGCTATGCTCTTTCAGCTTATACCCTTGCCTGGGACAGCACAGGCTAAGATTGAAGATGTCTCTCGCCTTTTCCTAAACCATGTCAGCCAAATGCCCATGAATGTGCCTATGATCCAGGTGAAACCTTGTGTTGTATCAATTGTTGTCTCCCTTTGATTTCATGTAATTGTCATTTGTTTTATGAATTTATTTTGTTTTTAAGTTGATTACAGTCAGTTATTTTTTTATTTATTTTTTTAAGATTAAACAGAATCGAAAAAATGTGCACCATGTAATTGTAGTTTTCACACTTGTAGAAGAAAATATTTCAATATATATATAAAAAACATAACATTTATGTTTTTCACAAATAATATTACTTTTATAGTACAATATAATACCATACCACTGCACAACATAAAAACACATAAGATCCTTAAATGGGAAGTTCATCATTTGAAATTGTGTATTATCTTTAATAATGGCAAAATGAAATGGCCTGAAAAATGCCCAGATTATACATTTTAATTATCCATAACCTGATTTCTAAACTTTTACACATATATAGAAACAAACCATTGTTAGTTTGTCTAACTGATATAAAGAATGGACAATGTCAGAGATTCCTTTGTTTTACCATCCAAGTGCTTTCTTGATTCATATCTATATGTCTTAACATAATGTTTCCTCCGGTAAAAAAAAAAGTCACCAATACATATATTTAATGTTTGAATACTTCTTTTTTTCATGACACATAAAGTTAGATTAGAATTATAGTTCATATCTAGTACTTCAAGATTTAATATCATATGAATCTGCTTGCATGTGTACTTTGATGATCGCCTTAGATCAGCTGAAATCAGACGTGTATTTTTATAAAGTAGGTCACTGTTAAGGCATAGTGAGTCATTATGACAAAATATTAATAATACAGAAATTCTAATCGTTGGTTAAACCTGTGCGAATTTTTTACATTTTTTTTTTTTTATTTAAAAATGATTTTTTTTTTCATGGGAGAAGTATGTGACAATGCACATTAAACCTGTATACTCTTATGTTATCACCATACAGACCCAGAATTATTAGGCTGTTTACCTAAAAATAAAGACCAATTTCTTCTTAACTAAAAAATGAATTATAACAAAACTTTCACAAAATCTTTATTACATATGTACTTGTGCTTCTATTTTTCTTTGATCAGAATGATTTCTGGAGTTTCCCATACAAAAACATGGACTTTTCAATTTCATACCCCATCTACAACTCCTCCTAAACCAGTTGATGGATTTCAATCTTAACTTTTGCAGATTCTACATGACATAATGCCCTTGTGCACATTCTATTTTACTCTTTGATCAGAATTATTTCTGATTTCTCAAACAAAAATATGGACTTTTATGTTCCATATATAATGATAATTCTTTTCAAGTGGTTATATGGAGTGGTAGTATTAATTTGTGTGATCTGCTCACAGTATTCTAGTAGGTATATGGAATGATTGCAAGGTGTACATCACCATATGGCAGGCTTCATCTGAACTTGACCTCCTTTTCATGGAACATTTATCAACTTTAAGTTTTCATGGTTAGGTCCCCTTCACAGGTACTATTGCAATAAGCCAACTTTATTTGGTTTATGGTGTACATGTCCATCTGGCATGGTTCATCTGACAACCTGATTTTGGCTCCGTTCTAGATTAGAATGACAAGATCTCAAAATGAGGCTAATTTGGAAGTTTTTGCAGTATAAATTGTAAGAAGTTTGAAACCCTAAATCCAATTCAAGAATATAGATACTAATATATTACATAGTAATGCCTTGTGAATATCTCAGATCATTATTATTGGATAGAATTTTAATACTTTTTGATTTTCCAATGGAAGAGGCCAAAGTGAACTTTTCATACCTTTTCTTTTACCTTCAAAATGTAACTGACCACTCATACAGTTAACTTTTTTGAATTTTGTAACGCTGCTGAACAGTTAGTTACAGAACTTTGTGAAACTTTCAAAGAATCTTACTTTTGCACTTTCCTATTTGATTTCTTCTTCGAAATAATATTTTGGGCTTACGTAGGGACAATCTAATTTAAAACTGAATGGTTTCTGAAAATAGAAGCAATGCGAGATAGGTTTTAATTTGATTGACGTAGAGATGACCTTGAAGTCGTCATATCTGCACACTATAGTAGGCATTTGTATCAGCTTCTCCTAAACCCCTGATGATAATCAAACTTTCTCACGCTCTTCACCATAATGCTATTGTACACCTACTATTTATTTTTTATTTTTTTATCAGAATCACTTTTAGGGTTTCCTTTAGCAAATCATGTACTTTACAAAGAGTAGGTTGGAATTTATTTTTGATTAGATTAGAAGTTGAATTTAAATTATTGTGTGTAAAAAGTGCTTACTCATTAGTCCATATAAAATGTTCACTCAGGTATTGCCAATCCTTATGCCTTCCAGACTTCATTTGCATTATCACATTGCTGATTCCCATTTGGTAAATCTCTTCAAGAGTTATTATAAAACTACTTTAAAAGGGAATGTCCATGTGTTTCTTTGACTAGATTGTCTTATAGTTTCTAGTAGGACTTTCAACTTTCTACTTTTTTTTCACTGCCATATGTACATGTACATTAAGAAATGATTTTTGCATGCTATGGTTATTTTTAAAATTATGCATGACAGCTTGAAATGCTTCTGTAGTGCATGTTCTGATTAAATAATGATGTTTACAGCAAAATTGTTTCTCAAGTGAAAAGCTGTAGATTTAATTAGATAAATAAAATAATATTATGGAAAATATGCAAAAAAAAGTCAAAGCTGTAGCTCTGTTCAGATAATTTATATTTTAAATGTATGTAAAAAAAAATAGATAATAAGCATTTTTAAAAGGTTTACATAGGGGTAAAATGTAGATTTTGGCTTATATCTCTGAAACCAAAGCATTTAGAGTAAATCTGACAAGAGTAAAACTGATTATCAGGTCAAGATCTATCTGCCCTGAAATTTTCAGACAAATCTGTCAATGTTTTAAGAATGCTGGGAAATGAGAACTTTGAGTTGACACTAAAGATATATTACATAAGTTTAAAGGAAGTTTTAAAATTTGAATGATTTAAATAATTCTACATGGCTGGTTTAAATACTACAGTGACTTAAAGAAACTAATTGAGATGAATCAAAGCCGATTTATTTGTTTTGAAACAGTTAAAGATTATCTGGTTGTCTTTAAATTTGAATTACATTTAATGTGTAAAGGTATTTTTGCTTTTCTGGTTGTCTTTAAATTTGAATTGAATTTAATTTGAACAAATATTTTTGCTTTTCTGATTGTCTAAATTTGAATTTCATTTAATGTGAATAAATATTTTTGCTTGTCTGGTTGTCTTTAAATTAGAAATTCATTTAATGTGACTTTTATTATTTTTTACAATGTGAATGTTCTATATAATGTAGGATATGTCAAAAGAGGCAGAGAAGAATTTAAGTCCTAAACAATGTGCCGTGTTGGACATGGCCTTGGATACAATCAAGCAATTCTTCCATGCTGGAGGACAGGGTCTAAAGAAGACGTTCCTGGACAAGTCACCTGAATTACAGTCACTCAGATATGCTCTGTCATTATATACTCAAACTACCGATACTTTGATAAAAACATTTGTCAGTACACAAACATCACAGGACGAACTCGGCAATAGGGATCCTGTTGGTGAAGTGTCAATCCAAGTAGATCTCATTACTCACCCTGGAACTGGGGAACATAAAGTTACAGTCAAAGGTAGGTAACTCACCCTTGAACTGGGGAACATAAAGTTACAGTCAAAGGTAGGTAACTCAACCTGGAACTGGGGAACATAAAGTTACAGTCAAAGGTAGGTAACTCACCCTGGAACTGGGGAACATAAAGTTACAGTCAAAGGTAGGTAACTCACCCTGGAACTGGGGAACATAAAGTTACAGTCAAAGGTGTGTGTGATTTTGGAAAAAGGAGATGTGGAAGATACTGTAGGGATAGTCAAAGTCATAAGTCGAAAACAAAACTTACAATGCCATGGCAAAAAACGAAAATTGACCAAAAGACCATCAACAGTCTACAAAACAGAACATAGAAAATAATGGCTGAGCAACATGAACCCCACCAAAAAACCAGGGTTGATCTCAGATGCTGCAGAAGGGTAGCAGATGGTGCTCTACATGTGGCACCTGTTTAGACCCACGAAACATAAAGTAACAATTAAATTTAAAACTAAATCTTGGTTTGTCTATAGTGTTTATTAAAGTTTTTATGTTGTTACCTACTCTAGAAATAAGAAACATAATGTTACAATTAGATGAGAAAAAATTAAACCAGTATCAGTTAAGATAGAAGTATGGTTAATTAGATGCAATTATCTATGAAAAAATGTACCAATTATTATTGCTTTGTCTTTTACAGTTGTGGCAGCCAATGACCTTAAATGGCAGACATCATCAATGTTTCGACCTTTTGTTGAGGTCATCATTATAGGTCCTCACTTGAGTGACAAACGTAGAAAACATTCCACAAAATCAAAAAGCAACAACTGGTCACCAAAGTTTAATGAAACATTTCAATTGTAAGTACACAACTGGGTGATATGGCAGAATCTATATATTTAGAATTTTCATTTCAAAATGGTTCCCCAAAAAAAAAAGACAGCATTACAAATGATAAGAACAAATACAGGAAACCATCCAAAGAAAGTAGCTAAATATTTAGCAGCAACACTTCTGTAGAAAACAAACAGTTTACTTTAGTTCACATTTTTTTTTACATTTTCAAATACTTTAGAAGAACCAGATCTGAACTTTTACCAACTCTCATTCTTAAATTATGATTATCTTTCTCTGGAATTTAAATTGATATTAACATGATATATGAAAACATTTAAATGAATTGAAAGTAAAAGGTGACTTATTGGTCTATGGGTGTACTTTTGTTTTGTCAGATTATATTGTGTATATAAATGTATTTCTGATGATTTACACACATCACTATAATAAACAATTTCCTTACTTTATATTCCAAAGCCAACTCTACACACTATTATTTGTCAGTATATAGTTTCCTATATATTGGGATTTATAAGTCACTTAAATTATTACATAACGAATCGTTTTGATACATTTTAAAATCAAATCAAATGTAAGAGTAATAAGGACAAATTCATGCATTATTGGATAATGATATTTAACTCTTTTACCAGATTTTGATATCTATATGTAAGATTCTTTCATATTTATTATTAAGAATACATTTGAAATATTTTCCAGCATCCTTGGAAATGAAGACGAACCAGATGCATATGAACTCCATATTTGTGTTAAAGACTATTGTTTTGCACGAGAAGATCGACTCATTGGTGTAGCAGTCATGCAGTTAAAAAACATTATAGAACAAGGAAGCTGTGCTTGTTGGTGCTCCTTATGTCCCAGAATTCATTTAGACGAGACAGGATGGACTATTTTGCGTATTTTATCTCAGAGAACGAATGATGAAGTTGCCAAAGAATTTGTGAAATTAAAATCGGAAGTAAGGCATGCAGAGGAGGTATCTAAGTGATGATCCAAGTCATACATCATGTCTATATATAGATCCTATTCTGGTCCCAGACTGGTAATAGTTTGAACACTACTTAGAAAGTATACTGGTTCAGCTGAGGTTGTTTATAAAAGTGCTTGCTGGAGGTTAAAATATCAGTACAGGAGTTAGTGAAGACAGGTGATGTTGTGAGAGGGTACCAGAAAGTGGATCCAGTTGTGTAATTCTAGTTGTGTTAAGCATTTGTGAAGAACATGGTCCATGTTAAAATCTGCTTCCAGTTTTCAGAAATCATTATTTACAATCAAACTTTCATTCATTCTTAGATATAATAAAGTTTATACATCAAACTAAAAAGATAGAACTTATATAATATTACTTCTTGTTTTCATTCAAGTTTATTTTTAACATGCGTCTTTGCAAATGCTTTCACACAATTTTGTAAAATGCTCAAAACTTTCAAAGTTGTGTAATATATATATATGTATAGAATTTTTTATACATTTCTACTGTTAAGTTTCTAGGTTTTAAACAAGTTGTAGTGCAATGTCAAATGTGATATTGGTTCCTCAAGCTTTAATTTTTGTTTGATTTTTCATCCTATTATTTTGTCAGCTAAAATGTCCCTCATTAGATGAAGTATCCCCTCAAAACTGTTTAGTTAAGTAAGTTTTCTTTGCTGTAACAAATGAAAAGTGTTCAATTTCTATTTATAAAGTTCAAAAGTAAGTAATTTTAAGTTGCCATTTACACTTCAATTATCATTATAGTTACGGGAAGAATTATGTAAAATTGCTTTTTGTTGTCAGTAAGCACAGAATTAACAATTCAACTATATTTCTAAGGAAAGTCTTATGTTTACAAGAAAATGTAAAATTGTTATCTCTCTGTTTATGATTTAGTTTATTCTAGTAAATCATTTATATAAGTTATTTAATCATAGAATTAACAAGAAAGTTTTGCGACTAGATTAGTTTATTATTGCATTTACAAGTAAATTAATTATGTTAATATTTTGCAAATTATTTTGTAACCAAATCAGTTATTTAAATAAATTTACCTTATCAAAGTGAAATATTTTGATACACTAGTGGTTATTTTTTTTTCCATTCTGATTTAGAAGAAAAAATTACTTTTTTTTCCAAATTTTTTTTCTAAATTAAATTTGAAAAAGATATGGATTGCCATTCTTATTTTTAAAGTTAAAAAAAAGAATTGTTAAGAAATCCAACAATGCTGTATTTTGTTTGAAAATATGATGAAACATCTATCTTTTATTTTAAACAAAAAGAACCTTACATATACTTAGTTTTCATGTGGTATATTTATTTACAAATCATCATTGAACTAAATATTGTCCAAGGCAACACTGCTACAATGAGTTAATTATATTTGTCTGTCATGGACTATGTAAAAGAAAATTAAAAAAATAATAATTTTGAACTAACTGGGGATTTTTAAACTGTGATATGAAAATGTTTCTATATAGTGAGAAAAAAAAATGATTATAAATCAAAATTTTGTTGATTTCTTATTACATTTATTTGAAAACCATAGGTTGAAAAATATCTTCATTAAAGCATTTAGTTGTACGAGCGGGTATGTCTCTAAGTCTTTCTATAAAAAGGTTGTTACTATTATTTATTTGTAAAGTTATGTTGTATATATACTGATGTTGATTTCTGTAATATAGATTCCATAGAAAATCAAATTCCACTATAGATGTACATTCCTATTAATTTATTTCTGAGTTTACAGCTGTTTTTTACATATAAACTTACGGGGTTTCAATTTACAGTACTTAGAATGTGCAGAGATTACAATGAAAACAGTTCACATGTAGATGAATCTGATTTCCAAATTATCATTATTATGCAATTAACATTCAACTAGAAATTTTAATTGGCTTATTGCAAGCACACTATTTAGAAAAGAACATATTTTTTATTTTGTTTATTTTTTGCTTGCTTAAAGATGTAAATTTGGGACTAAAAACTAGGTTGTCTTAGTACATCATTTACTCTGTACTGTTATGAGGTCCAAAAAAGGTTATTGACAAATCATTACAGAATCACAATTTAAAAGTATTTTTATGAATAATTGTCTAATGAAATAAGTTATTAATCTGTTTAATGTAATCATATTCTGTAAAATTAAAGAATCATGTATATTGCGGCTTTAATCAATTTCTGAAATCCATAAATATACTTATGTTGCTTTTTTTGTTATATTTTATTCCCATAGATTATGAAATATGAATTCTTTGTTTAGTATTCGGGATATAATTGTAATGTAATGGATGATTTGTCAAACTTACAAATATTATTCAATTTTATGAAGTTTGTAAGCACACAAAAGATTGTATATTCAAGTTGTTCAGATGTTTTACTGTATTTGTTTTACAAGCTGATCTCTGAACAGTTTTAGAGTAATATAGTTGATAATTTACCCGTAGTACATCAAATTTATACTAAACAAAGGATTACATACATTATTTATATAGTGAAAGGGTAACCGTGTCATAAACGTGCAATATATAGTTGTTTTACAATCAAAATATCTTAGTTTCTATAGATCTATTGCTGGATAAATATCAATGCCTGAGGTAATAACTATACCAATTTCTTTTAACTCTCCATTAAAAGTACAATGACAAACTTTTCAAAGCTATATATTTTCGAAACCTAGAATGCTTTGAATTAATTTGAATTTGCTCCAAAAAACTGTATGCAGTTTATGTTTTTGTGAAGACTGCTTATTTACAAATATTAAAACTGATTAAAATCAAACCTTTTGAAGTAATTGGCAGAACAATGTAAAAATTACATGGAAATAGTTCATAATAATAATTGATGTTTTAGAGGCAGAAAAAATAGTCCAGTGTAGCACCATTGAGGTTTTGAAACATATTTTGTGTCAAAAACATAAGCTGCATACTTTCCTAAAATATTAATTATTCAAATGTTCCCCCCTTTTTTTCTTTAAAATACAATTCTGTAAAGGTTTATATTTATTAGAATAAAGATATACATTTATTTTGTTTATTGAATTAACTTATTATTAAACTGCAATATAAGTATCATCAGTGGCCAAAGTTAATAATGTAGATTTATATATTTATTTATAGAGTATAAGTTAATATGCATAATTAATACATCAACAGGACTCCATCTTGATTACAGATACACATATAGATAAACCTTGGCTCAGACTGTCTGGCATTTTAATTTGTATAGTTTAACCTATTTTGTTAGTTGAACAGAGGTTTTTTCACCATTTAATTCAAATAAAAGTATTTGTAAAAATTCTATTAGAATGCTTTTAGAGGGAATAACTGCCTTAGTTATAAAATATCCATAAAATAGATTGTTTATGTGTCCTGGTGATGTATAATCACACTGTACAACATAACTGATTCATTTTCATTAGAAAACATTGACAAATATGGTCAACATGTCTTGTTATATATAGAGAGGTAAGAAATCATATTGACATAAACAATTGCTTAATAAATTTTACTTTTTAATTGTAACCTGCTATCCTACTATTTTGAACTTTAAATCGATTTTTGGTACATATCTTAAAATCAGTGCAAATACAGTTTGATAGTATCAAAAACTAGTCATGATCAAAACAATATTTCAACAATAGCTTTTTCCATAGATTCAAATCTGACCTTTATTAGGAATAAGTTTGGTAAGGGACTGAATATTAAGTCCATTGTATTCAAATAAAAAGTGTTTCAAGTCGATAAATATACATGAAAGAAAATAAAATAGAAATATTTTTTTTCAAACTTTTCTCATAAAAGTTGACAATGCAGTCTAAATATACTTGACTTTTGTGACAATTGACAAAATCATCTGGATATCAACCACATGTCGGTCTAGGAAACAGAGTGCAGGGTTGGGCAAAAGAAATTCTCCAGTCAGATATGTAATTAGTTATAACAAGCATAATGTCTAAAGATACTTTTTGTTGACATTTGCTGTATGTTTCTGATCATAAAAACCAAAGGAAATTGACTTGATTAGATTGAACTTTGAGGAAAATAAAAATTTGTTTTGTTTGTGATGTCATGAAAAGAATGCAGATTTGTAAATTTTCATCAAAGGGATCTGTATCCTATCTAGTCATTGTTTTAGCTTCATTACGATAATGGTCATTAAATCCTTATTTGAAATGTTTGTACTAGGAGCCATATTGGGGCCTTATCAAACCTACTACTTTAAAACGGGTCACTTTTTGACAGTAAAATTCATTGATGTATTGTAATAGACATGAACTATACAACCAGATGATCTGTTACATTAGGGGTAAACAACAACTGTAAAATCATATTGGTAATCATGTGAACAGTGAACAAACAATGTCAGTTGATCATGTGATGTTAGTTTTGACTTGAAAACTCATGTTGGTTGGATGGTGTGATATTGCATATTTATTGAAGATAAATTTATTTAGACACAATATTTTTAGTATAACTTACTAACAGAGGTAGTGTAACAAGTCAAAATTTATGTTCAGTTGTGGAAATATTTTTTTTGTTTTAGTTAATTATATACATATATGTGTTTTTTTCTGTTATACATAGATATTTTTTTCTATTTTGTCAGATTTTGTTGACAAGAAAATTCTGTAGAGAGAGATTAATCTCATTGAGAATTCCCGGATTAATGGTTGTGGTAGCATGAAATCCAATTGTTAAATTTTTTATCTTCTTTTGTTATGTATATTATAAAACAATAAATATTCATAATCTTTTATTCAAGTCTTTTGTGTATATATTTTCCCTGCAAATTTGATATCATTAACATGACCCATATTGTGAACTGAATATTATTACAAGAATCAGAATAACTTGCTTGGAATAGTTAAACAAAGGCAAGTTTACTTGTGTTGCTCAGTCTTTAGTTTTCTATGATGTGTTTTGTAGACTGTTGTTTGTCTTTTGGTCATTTTTTGTTTTTTGTCATGGTGTTTTCGAGTTTGTCTTTTGATCGTTTTTTGTTTTTTGTCATGGCGTTTTTGACTAATGAGTTTAAATATCTCTTTGTTATCTTCAGCCTTTCTTTAACTTAGTTTATATTTTTAAGTATAAAGATATGAAGATGTGGTGTGATTGACCAATGACCAAATGACAAGGATGTAATCAACTACAGGTCACTGTACTGCTTTTAACAATCAACAAAAAACTTATCATATAGTAAGCTTTAAAAGGTCACTAGGAAACAAAATGTGAAAAAAATCAAAACAGAATTGATTTAAGCTAAAAGAAAATCAATTATGGCAACAACAAACTCTGGACCACAGGCTTAAGGCTTTGTTCTGAAAGACATGTTTTATAGTGATTAACTCACCCCCTAATCTATAACAGTGATGTATTAGTACTGCAATAGTTCAAAACTAAAAATTATTTGAAAATGGTTTAAATTATCAGATCAGTACTAAGCACAACAAGTACTGATATAAGAATACTTGCAATTACTGGTAGCTAGTTCAAAAAGTTAAATCACAAAAATACTGAACTCCGAGGAAAATTCAAAACGGAAAGTTCCTAATCAAATGGCAAAATCAAAAGCACAAACACATCAAACGAATGGACAACAACTGTCATATTCCTGACTTGGTACAGGCATTTCCTTATGTAGAAAATGGTGGATTGAACCTGGTTTTATAGCTAGCTAAACTTCTCACTTGTATGACAGTCGCATCAAATTCCAGTATATTGACAACGATGCCTGAATAAAACAAACAGACACAATAGGTAAAAACGTCAAAATAAGGGTACAGCAGTCAACACCGTGTCACAATCTTAATCACAACAAAAACAAACAAATATTTAACAAAGAAGCAGGGACCGAATCGTGATTTTAACATTAACTCTGGCGTAGAATCATGTGTTTGACGTCAGAATGTAAACACCACACAGGTAGAGATTTGAAATAATTTTTCGTTCAAAGTATGCAAAAATTATAATAGAACAGTAACACAATGGCAGGATGTTTAAAGTACAGAGACACGTCATATGTATCAAAGAAACATAAAAAGTCACACATACAAAGTACACAAGTAAAAATGAAAAATAATACAAACAACACAATGACGGGATGCATGAGTACAGAGCCACCTCAAATGTATATCACCAAAAACAGACTAAACAGTAAAAGTAATATTAATAAAGACAAATAAAAGAATACTTTAACACGTTATTAAGACGATAAACAGCGTCAGTACGCAGAATCTATACTTCAAGACCATCATATATTATTTGTGAAGTTGATACGGAATATTTATCAACAAGGTCTTGGTACCTTCCGATGAACTTTTTTAGAAAAAGAACGAGACGTTCTTTGACATACCCCTGGTTCATCAACTTTCTGCTCAGACACGTGACGTTTTACAAAGCCTAGTAGGAGCTGCAAGCTCTTGAATACCGAATAAGTTGGGAAATGTATATCAAAGCCCATTTTCAACTAATATATATACTACTGGTATGTCTTTCAAGAATAAATTTCAATCAGTACACCTGCAATGGATTTAATCCAATGACATCCTAAGCAGTATTATGCCATAATATATTACTATTAAGTATCAAGAGGATGTAGGACCAAAGCTGTTAATAACCGATGCAATACATGTTATTAAGTAATGTATTAAACTATTAAAAATAAAATAATGTAAGTATTGATAATGACATTCAAATATTTTACTACATTGTACAATGTAACTTATGTTAAAGAAGGAGAAGATACTATGGCCAAAAAGAAACAGCGGAAAAACCAACAACAGTTCACAAAACACTACATAGAAACAAAAGATAGAGCAACTCAGACCATGTCAATCATTTGGGGGAAACTCCGGTGCCTTGGAAGTCACAATTCCTACTTCACATCTAAGCCTAAGATATCACCAAATTGGTCATATAACTTCTCTAGACCTTAAGCTTTTCTGATTGTTAAAGTTAGAAATGAAAACACAATTCCAAGGACAAGACTTACTGGTAGACAAAAACGGAAAATTAAAAAAGAAAAAAATACAAGACTGAAAATTAAAGCAACATGAACTCCTTGTAATAAAAAACTGGGAAGAATTCCAGTGTTCCCAAAGGTTGAGCAAACCCTATTTCTGCTCCACTGATGGCACCTGGTGGATTGTTCATTGCAAGTTAAGCTTTCTGTGATGTCAATGTGGAGGAAGTGACGACAAGATTATAGCTTTGAAAAGTGGAACATATCTGTTGTCATCCGTTACACATCTTACTCAAAATTACCAACCAAATCATGATGCCATCCAAAAAACTTCCAAAATGGATGACTTCAACGATTTAGAACTCTTGATTTTTAAAATAGATTCCTGGTAAACTGCAATCCTCTACCAAGGAATTTTGCTACATTGGAATGGAAAGTTCATACTAAGAGAACTGAAATCATCTCTTTTGTCGTAATGTTAAGTTCTCATCCGACCCTCTGTTTACCAATTTCTAGATGTCTATCAAGGTATGAAGCTGACTTTATTTTGTCTGTGGTATATTTTCAAGTTAAGTTAGATAGATGTGATCCACATAAGCACACAAGCTATTAAACAGACAATTTATTTAAGAGTATGATCACAGATCCTTTAAATTCATAAGTTCAACATTCAACCAACAGCTATCAGTACCTTAGCTAGTAGTAACTAGTGTTAGTAACATACACGACTTAAAAGGAAGGATGAAAGGGTCAAATGTGTATTCTACTATTAATTGTACTGATAGCTGTTAGTTAAATGTTACCACTTATGATTTTGAAGGATCATTGATCATACTCCTAAATACATTGTCTGTTTATAGCTTATATAGCTAATTTCTGTAATCTTATTTCTTTGTTCCTTTGGGTACCCAAGAAAAGATTTATTCTGTGGCTATTGTCATAAAGATTATTTGCTGTTTCCTTGTACGTATTTGCTGTTAGTCTATTTTGTATGTTAACTTGTTTGTTATTGATATCGTCTGCTGTTGATGATTGACACAGATGATTTTGATGGTTGGTTCATTTGTTTTTTTATGGTTGGTATAGTATGTTGTTGATTGTTGATACACTGGGTTGTTGATGGATAGTAATAAAATTGAGAATGAAAATGGGGAATGTGTCAAAGAGACAACAACCCGACCATAGAACAGACAACAGCAGAAGGTCACCAACAGGTCTTCAATGCAGCGAGAAATTCCCGCACCCGGAAAGTTGGTTGTTGATGGTTGGTACGGTTGATTGTTGATGGTTGGTACGGTTGATTGTTGATAGTTCTTACAGTTGGTTGTTGGTTGGTACAACAGTTGTTTGTTGATGGTTGGTTAAGTAAATTGTTGGTGGTTGACACAGTTGATGGTTGATGAATAGTTCAGATAATTGTTGATGGTTGGTACAGTTGATTGTTGATGGTTAATACGAGGTTGGATGTTTGACACAATTTTTTGTTGATGATTGACACATTTGTTTGTTGATGATTTGTAAAATTGGTTGTTTATGGTTGTTGAAGTTGGTTGTTGATGGTTGACACAGTTGATTATTAATAGCTGTTAAAGTTGATTGTTGATGGTTTGTACAGTTGGTTATTGACGGTTTATATAGTTTGTTTGGTACAGTTGGTTCTTCATGGTTGGCACAGTTGATTTTTGATGGTTTGTAAAGTTGGTTGTTGATATTTGGTACAGTTGGTTGTTAGTGGTTTGTACAGTTAGTTTTTGATGGTTATTGTAGTTGGTTATTGATGACTGGTACACTTAATTGATGATGGTTGGTACAGCTGGTTATTGATGGCTGGAGCAGTTGTTGTTGATGGTTTATAAAGTTGCGTATTGATGGCTGATAAAATTGGTTGATTATGGTTGTTGTGTTGGTTGTTGATGGTCGGTACAGTTGATTGTTGATGGTTGATACAGCTGGTTGTTGATGGTTTGTTAGGTTGGTTGATGTTTAGTACAGTTGGTTATTGATGGCTGGTACTCTTTGTTCTTGATGATTGAAACAATTGATTGTTGATAGTTGTTACAGTTGGTTGTTGACGGTTAGTACAGTTGTTTAATGATGGCTGGTACACTTTGTTTTTGATAATTGATTGTTGATGGTTGGCACAATTGGTTGTTGACGGTTAGTACAATTGTTTAATAATGGCTGGTACACTTGGTTCTTGGTGATTGATACAATTGATTGTTGATGGTTGGTACAGTTGGTTGTTGACGGTTAGTACAGTTGGTTGTTGACGGTTAGTACAGTTGTTTAATGATGGCTGGTACACTTTGTTTTTGATGATTGATACAATTGATTGTTGATGGTTGGTACTATTGGTTGTTGACGGTTAGTACAGTTGTTTTATAATGGCTGGTACACTTGGTTCTTGGTGATTGATACAATTGATTGTTGATGGTTGGTACAGTTGGTTGTTGACGGTTAGTACAGTTGTTTAATGATGGCTGGTACACTTTGTTTTTGATGATTGATACAATTGATTGTTGATGGTTGGTACTATTGGTTGTTGACGGTTAGTACAGTTGTTTTATAATGGCTGGTACACTTGGTTCTTGGTGATTGATACAATTGATTGTTGATGGTTGGTACAGTTGGTTGTTGACGGTTAGTACAGTTGTTTAATGATGGCTGGTACACTTTGTTTTTGATGATTGATACAACTGATTGTTGATGGTTGGTACAGTTGGTTGTTGACGGTTAGTACAGTTGTTTAATAATGGCTGGTACACTTGGTTCTTGGTGATTGATACAATTGATTG